GAAGCAGATACCTGTAATCATGGCTCAACGCGAATAAAAATAGTGTTATTGGCTACTTATTTATAAGCTGCTACCACTTAAATTTGATTACAACCCTAAACCCTAAACCAAGACCCTTAAGCAAAGGGGTATGGGGCCCTCTGCAGGTTGAGGATAAATAGTCTGTGCGTCTCTTTTCGGTGTCTGCCCCCAAGGCCGCCACAGTCTTCTAAACTCGAACCCCACCCCTCCATCACCAAGGCCTCTTTTGACTTAGTAAGTCTACTTAGTATCCCCAAGAATCCCTCTTATAGTCCCCATAACCCACCTTGCTGAACCCTACTTACTACGGCAAAAGGTCTTCCGAGTGGACCCCCAAGCCCTAAAGCCCTAAACCCAAAATCCTCAAAAAGCCAAAGGCCCTAAAAACCCTCGCGAGCCCCGCAGATGCCGGATGCCACTGCGGCCATGTCCGAGGTGCCTCGAAAATTGAGGGTTTGGGGTGCAGGGTTTCGGGTTTAGGGTTGCCTCGAAACAAGAAGGCTCGGGTTTAGGGCTTAGGGTTTTTCTCGGGTTGAGGGCGACAGGTTTTTAGAGAGACCCCCAAACCCTAAACCCCAAAAACGCCCTGAACCTAAAGCCTGCCTTCAAGCCTGAAGGAGCCCCGGGAAGGTCTACTAAAATGAGTGGCTTCGGAATGGTTTAGGGTTTAGGGGGTTTAGGGGGTTTAGGGTTTAGGGTTTAGGGTTTAGGGTGATGATTCTAAATCTACTGGGCGTTAGAAGGGAAGATGTGCTGCCAATGATTGAGCTTGCTGTGCAGGCGCATCGAGGGCTTGGTAGCAGAGTTTTATCCTTTTGCCCTTTTTTTGGGTTGTGGGTTGCCTTATGAAGATGAGCAACCCCAAAAAGGGTTTAGGGTTTAGGGTTTAGGGTTTAGGGTTTAGGGTTATTACAAGCTGGTTACCAAGAGGGCCTAAGTGCCCAAACTTGAGACCCCGGCATGCTTTGAGGAGGGTGTCTTCGCCCTTGGCAGAACCCCTCAAAGGCAAGTTTGCGGTTTAGGGTTCAGGGTTTAGGGTTCAGGGTTTAGGGTTCAGGGTTTAGGGAACATCTTAGCCATGCCGAGCCGTGGTGAAACAAGGGTGGCCATCGGGCCAAATGCTTTCTTGGGCCAGAAAACCGGGCGCGTTGACGCCGGCCTGGAAGCAGCAGGGTTTAGGGTTTGGGTTTAGGGCTTAGGGTTTAGGGTTTTGGGTTTAGGGTTTGGGGTTTAGGGGTTAGGGTTTAGGGCTTAGGGTTTAGGGTTTGGGGTTTAATTAGGGTTTGGGGTTTAGGGGTTAGGGTTTAGGGTAAGGGTGAGAGGGAACGAGCAAGAGATCCGCGGCCACACCCGCAGCTGCAGACTGGGGATGCTAGGGGGCTACAACTAAACGCTATTCGACTAGGCCGCAAAAACAACCGCGAGTTTTGGAGCCAGCAAGGCTGTCAAAGGGCGCAGATCCAACCCTCCCCCCCTCTGTCCGAGAAAAAGCACCTCGAGCCCACTCGCAGCTTGACCCTGCCAGTAGTAGAGTATGTAACCTTTACCCTTTTTGGGGGAGTATAAACCCCTTATAATCCCACAGGTTAACCTTTAAACCCCCAGGTTACTGGACAACGAAGTGCTTGAAAAAATGAGGAGCTACCAGTCGATGAACCTTCCCCGCGCCACCACATCTCGAGCACCCCGAAGCACTCTGCTGGTGAGGTGTCGGCTTAGAACCCCCAAACCCCCCGACTTTCAACACGCTTTCCATATGAGCACGCACCCTCAAACCCTCAAACCCTCAAAACCCCCAAACCCCCAAACCCCCAAAACCCCAAAACCCCCAAACCCCCCAAACCCCAAAACCCCCAAAACCCCCAAACCCCAAAACCCCAAAACCCCAAAACCCCAAAACCCCCAAACCCCCAAACCCCCAAACCCCCAAACCCCAAAACCTGTGGTGATCCCAAGCTGTGAGGTGCAAGGCAAGAATCGCAGCTAGTGAAGCGACTTGTCGCTAGGACTGCATTTGGGCTCCGCTCTGGGGGGGGGGGGGGGGGGGTTTGGGGCTTGGCTGTTTTGGGGCTTTTGAGGGGCTGTGTTGTAGGGTTTTAGGGGTTTGGGGTTGAGAGTTTTGGGGTTGAGTTTAGGGTTTCGGGCTTTTTCTAGGGGGTAGAAGTGTCTGTGATATGCGGCTTTTTGAATCTGGGCTTTAGAGTCTTTAGGGTTTAGGGTTGAAGGTTTAGGGTTTCAGGTTTAGGGTTAAGGTTTAGGGTTTAGAGTTTGGGTAATAATCCTTATCTAAGTGTATGATGAACGTCCCACAACACAACATCTGAGTCAATGTGCCCCTGCATTCGCTACCTTTCAACAGATCCCCCTGTTTCTGAGGGAAACTACATGGCCCCTGGATATGGTCGGGTTCTGAAGTATGGGCCCTTGGGTTTTACAGGGTTTTTAAGGGGTATACGAGTGTCCCCATTCAAGGGCCCATACGAGGGAACCCCTTTGTGATTTCCCTATGACTGTTGCAGGCATCGTCCCCATCTACCAGAATTGGGCGGCTAGTTCTCTAATTAGTGGCCCTTTTTCCCGGATACCATACATACACGTACGTACACGGATGTGCGCGCATATATATATATATACACACGCACATCTTCCCCCCAAACCCTGAATGTATACACATACATATATATATATATATGTATGTATGCATGTATATGTATATGCATATGTAGATGTAGATGTAGATGTAGATGTAGATGTAATGTATATGTTATGTATATGTATATGTATAGTATATGTACATGCATATGTATATGTATGTATATGTATATGTATATGTATATGTATATGATATGTATATGTATATGTATATGTATATGTACATGTATATGTATTTGCATTTTGCATTTGCATATGTATATGGGCTGTACAGCCCATATGTATGTGGGCTGTACAGCCCGTATTGGAGTTGGTAATCAGGAAGGGACCCTTATTATTCAGGGAGCCTGGTCGCTTCGGCTGAGGTTGTTTGGGTTTAGGGTTTAGGGTTTGGGGCATCTGTTTTTGGTGCCAATCTGAGAGAGCCCGCGGAATGCCTTGCTTTCCATAGGATCCTTGTTTTTTGTTTAAGGCATGCTGCTGAATTCAGAGGTATTGGGCTATCTGGGATTGTGTTCTGGGTCGCCGGCATCCGCCCCCCCCCCCCCCCCCCCAAACAAAAAAGAAATCAAAAAGAAAAGGCCTCTCAGGAAGAAAAAAAGAGACCTGGCCAGGTAGGCTGGCGTGTGGGTTAGAACCCAAACCCTAAACCCTAAACCCTAAAACCCTAAGCCCTGAGTCCTCAGGTCACCTCGCCACGGATGGCAGTCACAACAAGGGAGCGACAAAAACATCCACCCTGAACCCTAAGCCCTAAGCTCGAAGCCCTAAACCCTAAACCCTAAACCCTAAACCCTAAACCCTAAACCCTAAACCCTAAACCCTAAACCCTAAACCCTAAACCCTAAACCCTAAACCGCAGGGTCTGGGGTTCAATGAGGCCTTCTTAGGAATTTGTAGGGCTTATGGGGATTCGTGGCCCTCCTTGGCAATAAAGGCTCACTTAAGGTTCCTGCGAACGATTCCTACAAGGGCTTTATTGTTTAGGGGCTACTATCTGCTTAAGAACCCCGCAAAAGACAAAACGATAATCATCCCTACATTGCCCTTATGAGCCAGCATAGCCGCACCCCCCCCCACCCCTGCCCCCTTGTGGTTCATGGTGGGTTTTTGGTTTGCTGTGGTTCGTGGTCTGTGGTTCATGGGTTTGGGGTTTAGGGTTAGGCGGTGGAGTTCAGGATTTTCACTCTGACCCCCCTCGGTCCATAGGTTGATTCACGGTAGGTTTAGAGTTTAGGAGGTCTGGGGTAATGGTAGGTTTATGGTTCCCCTCTCCGCCCTGTGGTTCGTGCTGGGTTTACGGTTCAGGGTTACAGCGGTTAAGGTTTCGGGTTTACCCTTCGCCCCCCCCCCCCCCCCCCTGTGGTTCGTTGGTGGGTTTAGGCTTTAGGGCTTCGGGTTCCCTTCACCAGCTCGAAAAGCACAAGGCGTTCCGACACGAGCCATAATTGGGATTTAGGGGTTTAGGGGTTTAGAGGTGAGGGTTAGGGGGTTTGTTCAACCCTAAATTAGCAATTACAATCCTAAACCCCGACACCCCTAAACCCTCAACCCGAAGCGGCCGTCGTGTTAATGGTTTCAGTTATCCCGACGCCGATATGGATGGGGGTTTAGGAACAGGGTTGAGGGTCACGGTTTAGGGTTTAGGGTTTAAGGGCTTAAGGGCTTAAGGGTTTAAGGGTTTAAGGGTTTAAGGGTTTAGGGTTCAAGGGTTTAGGGTCTAGGGAACCTCTAAGAGCCGTGAATGCGCTTGAACCTCAACCACAGCTGAACCGGCTGTGTCCCAGCCTCCTCACCGGCACCCCTACAAACCACAACTGCGAACCCTATAAGCCCTGCGAACCCGTAAGCCCCAAAAGCCTTACACTCTGAACCCTCTGAACCCTCTGAACCCTCTAAACCCTCGAAACCCTCACAACCCTCTCAACCCTCCAAAGCCCTCTAAACCCTAAAAACACTCTAAACCCTAAAAAGCCCTCTAAACCCTCTGAACCCTATACCCCTCCTCTACAAAACCCCCACAAAAAACTCCCTGGACCCGGGGCCCTGGTCTCCTGGCGACGCAATCTTTGGCTCAGGTGACGGCAAAGTCCGCACACCACTTTGACAGAGCCACGTGCAGTTTAGTGGCTTTGCGTCTGGGGGTTTCTAGGGTGTGTGCTTGCACACGAAGCCCTAAACCCTAGACTCTAAACCCTAAACTCTAAACCCTAAACCCTAATTCTTTTTTAGGGAAAGCCGGAAGCACAAGTGTGTCACTCCCTTATCATGCCGTCCTGCCCTTACCCTAAGCCCCATCTTGACGGGGTTGAAACGATCTGGCGGCCATGAGCGATCCGGAGGCGGAGAACTTAAGTTTCGGTGGTTTAGGGTTTAGGGTTTAGGGTTTAGGGTTTAGGGCTTAGGGACCCTATGGAAGCAAGCGCTCTCCTCGATATGGGACACCCCCAGTGCCCGCTAAACCCTAAACTCCGAACCTTCCCTCGACTTGGAGGTTCATGGTACTTATGAACCCCAGTGCAAGTGTACTTATACCCCAATTTTAACCATGTTAGGGCACTTAGGGGGCTTCTAAGTGGGGCATAAGTACAGATATATTTGGGTAAACAAGTACCATGAACCTTAAACCTCTACCCTGAATCCCTAAACTACTATTTGCTTCAGAACCCCCGAAAATGCAAAGCCCCATATTACCCTTATCAGGAAGAATATTCTATTCGTTTTTATTCATGGGGGTTCTTAAGCAATTCGTAGCAAACGCCTGAAACTTAACAACCCCCCAAAAATAGAAACATATGAATCTCTATATTGCCCTTCTAGGGAAGAATCTTTGTGTGTGTGTGTTTTTTTTTTTTTTTTGGGGGGGGGGGGGGGGGGTTCTGAAGCAATTCGTAGCAAACGCCTGAAACCTTGAACCGGCTTCAGAGTTACGAGCCGATACGTTCTCGAAAGCCGTGGAATGTTCGTGAGAAATTTCAGGGACAAGGCCCAGACAGCACGAATCGACCCAGATTCGGTTTAGGGTTTAGGGTTTAGGGTTTAGGGTTTAGGGTTTAGGGTTTGTGGGTTTGGGGTTTTGGGGCTTTGGGGCTTTGGGGTTTTGGGGTTTTGGTTTGGGGTTTCGGGTTTGGGTTTGAAGGACCTGGAGTCCGATGCCAAATGCGGCTCTCCAGTTAAGAGTAGAGTGTTTCTCAGAACCCTCAACCCTGAACCCTGAACCCTGAACCCTGAACCCTGAACCCTGAACCCTGAACCCTGAACCCTGAACCCTGAACCCTAAACCCTAAACCCTAAACCCTGAACCCTCACTGGTTGCTAGCATCTTCAACTTTTGAGCTTTCGCTGGAGGAAGTCGGCGATGGTTGGGGGGACGAGTTGGATGACCTCCCTGAGGCGCGCGCTTGCCTTCGTCGTAGTGGGGTTTAGGGTTTAGGGTTTAGGGTTGGGATGTTCCCCCTTTTTACAGTCCTTAGTAAGAACAATTATAGGGGGTACTCTAATCCCTATTAAGGACTGTGAGTATAAGTGGGAACATCCCAAGGGTAACATTTTCAACAAGGAATAGAAATTTCAGTTTTTTATGCTATCCCAACCATGAACTAGTTGAGGGCCTCCAAGCCTCACAGCACCAACATTTTTGTTGAAGCACTGAAGCATTAACCCCTGGGCCCCAGCACCCTCAAACCCACAAGCCCTCAAAGCCTCAAGCCCTAAAGCCTAAAAAAACCCTAAAACCTAAACCCTAAACCCTAAACCCTAAACCCTTTTCCCTCCTAAACCTGACCCTGAGCTCTAATCCCCAAAGCGTCCTAAGTCCCCTGCTCCGGGTATCCGCGTGGCCGCAAGCCGTGAAAAAAAAGTCGATGGGCCCTTATCCCCCATAAACCCGAAACCCTGAACCCTTAAACCCTAAATCCTGAACCCTTGAGTCCTAAACCCTATGTCTTGTGCTTTTTGGGGGGCGTTGGGTCCTAACCCCTAAGCCTGAACCCGAAAGTTTCCCTTGGAAAAGACAGGACATGGGGCCAACCGGCCACAAAATTCAGCGGTTAGTTGCTCCGATAATCCCCGCCCGGCAACTAAGCCTCGCTTCACTGCTCTGGGTGTAGGGTTTAGGGTTTAGGGTTTAGGGTTTAGGGTTTAGGGTTTACGTGCACTGCAAAAAGGGCACATGCTTGCCTTTTCTGGTGGGGTCTTGGGGCTGGATGGCTTTGGCCGGCTGGTTGCCAAAGCAGCAGAGAAATCCTAAACCCTAGACCCTAAACCCGGAAAACCTTAAATACATACATCAGTGGCTGCCCAAACCAAAGTAAGTTATAAACACCGGTAGATTGTTTGGGTGTAGCTCCGAAACGACAGTAAAATACTAAATGTTCCTCCAGATTTCAGTGACCACTCATTTCTTAGCCAAACAGCCGCCTGAAATTCCTGAATCCGAGAAATCAAGACCAAAAGTTTTCTTATTCAATGTAGTCTTTTACAAAGCCGGCACTGTAACTGCAGCACCCCTTTTTGGAGGATCAGGAGACTTCGTAAGCATTCATTAAGCGCCGTTATTCAGCAGGATAGCGCCAATTGGGGTCCCTTTCAGGGTACTTGTAACTCTGCTTTGCACCTACTTGTTCAGTCCCTCGATCCTCCAAGCGAGTCCGCCTGAAGCCAGCCAAGCTCCAAAGATAGCATCCCAACTTTGCAAAGCAATAGAAGTACCACAAGGACCAAAAGGTCAGGGGAGCAGACAGCAGAAACCCGACGATCTTACGTATCTCTTTCAACACAGATCTTTCTTCACAAGAGATAAGGGAGCTCCTCTTATCATTGCTGCTCTTTTTCTTTCGACAGAGTCAGAAGAAGGCAGCTTAGGCCCCGAAACCCGCCACACCTGTGCTTGTGAGAGAATTCCTCTGGTTTAGGGTGTAGGGTTTAGGGTTTAGGGTTTAGGGTTTAGGGTTGAGACGTTAGGGTTGAAGAGCCAATCTCGCGCAAAGCTCGAGTTAAAGGCCCAACTTCTCTCACAGATTCTGAGCAGCTTTTCGTGCGCACAGCACCTGGGCAGGCTTAACACGAGCAGTACGAAAAGCGCAGTGAGAAATCGAAACGTCGAACATGAGAAGCAACGCGAAAGCAAAGACAATGCCAACAATGCAAAACGTCGAAACGACTCGAACAAGCGCGCAATTTACTGTTCCTGCGGCTTTTTCTTCATTTTCGACGTTCTTTTGGTGTGCGTTTCCATTGTTTTTTTGTTGCAACTGTGTGAGTGCCCCACTCACCCTCCGCCCGCCTGCGAACATGTTGCTGCTACTCGGTCCAGGACTTTAAGCCCGTACATCCTGAGTTTTTTGGTTTTGGCAGGCAGTGCCAACGGATCTGCATGCCGAGTTGTATCTCGTCTGGGTTTGGGGTGTAGCGTCTGGGGTTGGGGGTTTAGGGTTTGGGGTGTAGGTTTTAGGGTTTAGGGTCTGGGGTTTGGGGTTTAGGGTTTAGGGTTTGGGGGGTTTCGGGGTAAGAGGGGCAAAAAAGAGGGGTTCTTTCGGTGCTTTAGGTTTCAGGTCGGCACGAACGAAGGGCAGCTGGCATTTCTCTTAAAGTATGGTTGTTTTGGGGTTGAGGGTTTCCTGGGGTTAGGGTCTAGGGTTTAGGGTTTAGGGTCCTTATTACACGTCCCTCTTATTGAGGGTACCTCAGTAGGGGCCATCATGTCGAGAGCTACCCTTAGAGCTTCCGCCCGGCCCTCCCTGCCCATAATCGACTTTTCGCCGACCCAAACATGAAGCTCCGAAACAAGTACGCCCTAAACCCTCAGGAGCCCGAAACCCCAAACCCGAAACCCTAAGGAGCCTAAACCCCAAACCCCAAATTTAGGAGCCTCCGGCTCAGGCCGCCGACCCAAGAGGCCCGAAACCTCTCAACCCTCAAACCCCTAACCCTAAACCCCACAGCCTATACCCAGAACCCTGATCTGTCAAGAACCCTCACTCCAGGTTTTGAGCCTCTGTGGCTTTAATGCTCTTCTCTTTAGGGTAGCTTAGGGCTTTGGGGTTTGTAGGGTATTGGTGTGGGGGGGCTGTGGGGGGTGTTGGTGGGGGGGGGGGGTTGGGGGGGGGGGGGGGGGGGGGGGGGGGGTGGGGGGGGGGGGTGGAGCTCCCCCAAAACCATCCAACACGCCGCCAGGGGCGGACCCCAAACCCCAAACCCCAAACCCCAAACCCCAAACCCCAAACCCCAAACCCCAAACCCCAAACCCCAAACCCCAAACCCCAAACCCCAAACCTCAAACCCCAAACCCCAAACCCCAAACCCCAAACCCTAAACCCTAAACCCTAAACCCTAAACCTTCTTGGACCTCAAGGATCCTTTTGGAAGGTTCGGGGATGGGTAGCTCTGGACTGGGGATGTAAGGGCCCCAGCTCAAACCTAAGGGATGTTACCTGGTTTAGGGTTTGGGGTTTAGGGTTTAGGGTTCAGGGTTCAGGGTTTAGGGTTCAGTGTTCAGGGTTCAGTGTTCAGGGTTCAGGGTTCAGGGTTCAGGGTTGGGTTTAGGGTACGTGGTCCCTTACCTTCTTTTCAGGGTTCTGAAGTCCGGGCCCTTCGGTTTCATGGGGTACATAAGCGGCATATTAACAAGTTCACCAAGTACGGGCCCATACAAGGGGCCCGTGTTACTACCCTTAGATCAAAGCGGTGACTTCTCAAGTTTAGGGTTGAGGGTTGAGGGGCTGGATAGGGCCCCAATTAGGGCCCACCCTACCCCTAACAAGTGACCTACTCACAAATGCCCTCGGATCCTCCAAGTTCTCGGATCGAGCCATGATGTGAACCCTAAAGCCTAGAGCGGTTTAGGGTTTAGGGTTTGGGGTTTAGGGTTTCGGGCCTGCACCCGAAACCCCGACGGTCGACGGCCCGTGTAGAGACCGTGCACCACGAAGTTCCAAAGCTTGGGGCCGTGCTCGAAGGGTACCCACAGACCTGAATACCCCTTACTTAAAGAATATGGGGTTTAACGAAAATAGGGGACCCATAATTGGACTCCCAAATAGTAGAATCCCCTTTTCATAAGGACCCCAATGAGGTACCACCTAATACCGTAAACCCTCAGATTCCTTAAGTCATAATAAGGATCCCATTATACTTTAAGGTATTGGGCTCTCTGGGTAGTACTTGGAGGGTCGAGGGGGCTCAGTATGTAGGTACAAATGTAAAGCAATAGAGTTTTCAGTGCCCCGAAACCAAAAAAAGCTGCAGACTTGGTGTGTAGAGCTAGGGTTTGGGGTATGGGGTATGGGGTTTAGGGTTTAGGGTTTAGGATATAGGCTGTTGGGTGTACGGTGCAGGGTTCAGCATCGCCACGCCGGTAGCGAATATCTACCCGCCCACCCCTTGGATCCCATGAACAAATGGAAAGTATTTTACTTGTCGGTTCCACTCGCCATTGACCGGGAACATCGCCCAAAAACTTTTCGCCATTACCATTGCCCACGACCTTCTCCGATATTCGCCATTGTCTGCGATATTTCGCCATTGACCAGGGACTTTTCGCCCTTGCCCGTGCACGAAGTTTTCGCCATTGCCCACGAACATTTCGCCATTGCCCATGAAGGACGTTAAGGTTGAAACTAGACATGTTTTTTCGTGGTTTAGGGTTGATGGTTCAGGGTTTAGGGTTGGAAAGCCAATGAGTGCCCGCGCACTGAAACAATTCTCAAGTGCACCCTGAGCCCGTCAATCCCAAAACCCTAACCCCCAGAACCCTATTTTCTCTTCCCCCCCTCCCCCACCCCCAAGAGCTCAACCCTCGAACCTATCAAGGCCTTTTCAGGTAGACCCTCTCGGGAGAATGTCCATATTTTCCTTTGTTGAGTTTCAGAGTCGGCCCTTATTCCACTTTTTTGGCGTTCGGGTTTGCTTATATATAAGCCCTTTCAACCAAAAAGGGCACCCTTTATGTTCACAGGCTACTCCTGGGTCTAGTTGTTGAGTTTCAGAGTCATGCCGCCAGGAGGATCTACGGGCCCTAAACCTAAACCCTAAGCCCTAAGCCCTAAGCCCTAAACCCTAAACCCTAAACCCTAAACCCTAAACCCTAGGCCCTAGACCCTAAACCCTAAACCCTAACCCTAAATCCTAAACCCTAAACTGATCTTTGAGTGTTTTGAAGGCAGCAAGTCCGTGGGCGCCTGGAAGAAAGCGAGGCGTGAAGGGGGGAGGGGGAGGTTGGGGGAGGGGTTGGGTGTGAGCAGGGAGGGGGGGGGGAGGGGGGGGGGGGGAGGGGGGGGGGGGGGGGGGGGGGGAGGGGGGAGAGGGGCTTGGGGGGAGGTGGGGGGGGAGTTTTTTTTGTTGCTTGGAGTTTTGGATTTAAGGGTTGTTGCGGGCAAGAGGTGTCGTGTTGGGTTTTGGGTTGAAGAGCCAGGGTTCGAGTTGTTGAGGGTTTAGGATTGAGGACTATGTGCAAAACCCTGAACCCTAAACCCTAAACCCTAAACCCTAAACCCTAAACCCTAAACCCTAAACCCTAAACATACGGGCACCGAACTCACGACTTCCTTCCTAAGAACCAGTAGGTATGGCACAGCCCCAAAAATACCCTAACTCGGAATTAAGGTTTGGGGTTTGGGTTGGGATGTTCCCCCTTATACAAGCAGTCCTTAGTAGGGATTATCGTACCCCTATTTTTATCCCTACCAAAGATTGTTAGTTTTAGGGGGAACATCCCAAGTTTCGGGTCTAATTTACGGTTGCTTGCTTAAGTATGGGACATTCGGCTCTCAACCTCAAACTCCGCTCCCTCAACGTTAAAACCCCCACACCCTGCCGTGCCCTTTTTGGAGCTCTAGTCTACGATGGTTGTGAGGTTATCGCACAAGGCAACCCCAAACCCTAGCCCGAAACCCTAAACCCTAAACCCCAAACCCTGAAACCTTAAACCGTATAAGCCCTCAACCCTCTAAGCCCTATAAACCCGAAGCAATATGCTGAGGAGCTGCGCTCGAAGGAGCGGCAAGAGCTCCAGTCGCGCCTTCAGGAGGCAGGGTTTAGGGTTTAGGGTTTAGGTTTTAGGGTTTAGGGTTTAGGGTGTAGGGTTTAGGGTTTAGGGTTTAGGGTGTAGGGTTTAGGGTTTAGGGTTTGTTCCCCGTTTTGCTGTGTTTCCATTGATCGGACTCTACCTCGGACCCCGAAGATGGTAAACCCATGGGTTTTGGTCCTTCTTGTGCAGATCCCGTAAGGGAAATCTGAAGGCCATATTTGGAGTAGATGAAGGGAGCCTCTTATGGGCACATCCTCAGTGCGACGAGTCTCCACGATCCATGAGAACTGCAGGTCATGCAGAAGGCCAAGGACGGGTGAGTTGATCCCGGCGGGAGGGTTTAGGGTTTCGGGTTTAGGTTTTCGGGTTTAGGGTTTAGGGTTTCGGGTTTAGGGTTTAGGGTTTAGGTTTTAGGGTTCCGGGCTTAGGTTTTCGGGTTTCGGGCTTAGGGGCGGAGAAGGGCCGTCGATTTTTTCAGGGCTTGTGGCCATGCGGATAGCGGACGATTGTGATTGTCACAACAAGTCCAGCCAAGAAGGCGACCTTCTGGTACCGTTGCCCAGCTGGCGGCGGTTGAGGGTTTAGGGTTGGTTAGAGTTTGGATTTTGGGTTTAGGGTTTAGGGTTTAGGGTTTAGGGTTGAGGGAGAGTTGCAGCATTGGGTTCTGGAGGTCGTTGGCCTGCTAGGTTTTAGTAGGGTTTCCGGGTAGGTTAGCCCCCCCCCCCCCCCCCCCCCCCCCATACAGCAAGAGAATAGGATGATATCGGAACCCCAAACCCTAAGCCCTAAGCCCTAAGCCCTAAACCCTAAACCCTAAACCCTAAAACCCTAAACTCTAAACCCTCAACCCTTGCAAGGGGCCGTCAGGAGACTTCATACCTGTGTACGGGACCCAAGCTAAGGTTTAATCCATAGAGCTGAGCATCGAAATCCACAAGCCTTCGCTGGTACTTTTAGGGTTCCAGGGTTATTTGCAGTTTTTTGGGGCTTTTTAAGGCTTGTTTGGGTATTTGAGGCATTTTAGGGTTTAGGGGTAGGGTTTAGGGTTTAGGGTTTAGGGTTTAGGGTTTAGGGTTAGGGTTTAGGGTTTAGGGTTTAGGGTTTAGGGTTTAGGGTTAAAGCTACAGAAGCGGCCCTCGGGCCGTAGGATCGCATCATGGAGATGCAGGCGCGGATGAACGAGATGCAGGCGCACGCGCCCTCGCAATCAAAAACAGCTCGGATTGGATAAGAGGGTTTAGGGTTTGGGTTTAGGGTTTAGGGTTTAGGGTTTTTAGGGTTTTAGGGTTTAGGGTTTAGGGTTTAGGGTTAGGGGTTAGGGGTTAGGGGTTTAGGGTTTAGGGTTTAGGGTTAGGTTGTAGTAGTGTCTTGTACAAGGAAAGTAGGATAGCATGAAGTTATAGGTGTCATAATATAAACATGAGTTGTTGCTTTAGTATAAGACTATACAAAACAAAGGGTACTATATACAACACATGACAACGGAGTAGTAGAATAATAGGATAGAACAATGATAAATGGGAAGTCGGATTATAATCGGACAATAGGACAATCTGAAAGTCTGATAATCGGATAACTGGATAGTTGGAGAATAGGAGAATGTACAGTAGGATAATAGGAGAACTCTCTTGTAGAATCATAGAATCGGAATAGAATCATGTAATATTAGGATGATAAAATTTCCTATTTGTCGTCTACTTTTGTATGTCTTGTATAGCAGTACTAGAATACAACAATACAATAATGCAGTGGCAATACCCCCCCCCCCCCTCCCATATCTCCCCTTCCCCTGAGAATGTGGAGACAAGCAGAATTGAGGATCCCCCAGCCAAAGTACTCGGAGGCTCAGGTATAAGCCCCCTAAGTCCTCTAAGTAGGTCAAGTAGACTTATGCTTGGGGTTAGAGGTACCCATAAAAATCTCGAAGAAGATGATGAACGCAGTAGCGGCTGCTGTGTCACGTCTTTGAGTGAGTGTTGAACGTATCAAGACTCGATCTAGATCCTTTTCCTAGACCTGGAACTGTGAATCCGAGGCCCAACACCCTGAGCATTAATTCACGAGCGTCACAGGCGCGCAGTATCCGCTACAAAGACAGCTACCCCTGCCTCCCTCACCCCAGCGGTCCCTGCGAAGCAGGAAACATTGCAAGCGCCTTGGCGCAGCAGCGTTGCGCGCACCAGCGTCGTTCTATGAATCGTTTGGGTACCATGTGATAAGCAGAGGGCACGTCGAGTCGATTCTGACGGGAGTGGCATTATGGTTTAGGGTCCATTCCTGAAGCAAGACTTTGTTATGGGGTTTAGGGTTTTGTGTTTCTTCTGCCGAGCGTGTTATCTACTGCCTGTGGAATACCACCATCTCCAACAAGTTAGTCACTCTGCTCGCGTTGAAAGAATTTGAGCTTTGTTGTCTCTGATAGCTCAAAAGTTCTACTTGCAGGTTCAGGGTACTTCTTAACCGAGTGATAACCGTACTTATATAACCCAACTGTCACCATACTAGGGCACTTAAGGGGCTCATGTGGGGGTTATGTGTGCAGTTAGAACTGGGTCAAAAGTACAATGAACCTCCAAGGAGTAAGCAAATACGGTTTGGGGGAGCTTGGGCCCAAATCTTGACCCTGACCCAGGCTGTGACCCAGAACCCCAAAGAGGCCCAACCCTGCAGGGTTTAGGGTTTGCCTAGACCCTAGACCCTGGACCCTAAACCCTAAACCCTAAACCCTAAACCCTAAACCCCAAACCCAAAACCCTAAACCCTAAACCCTAAACCCCAAACCCCAAACCCCAAACCCTAAACCCTCCCTTGGACACAGCCGCAGACCTTGAGTCTTCAACCCTCGAAGCCCCGCGCCCAAAGATCTACGCTCGATTAGGTTATGACGCGAAAGCTTGCTAGCCCAGTGGTGCCCTTTTTCCAGTTTTTTTGGTTCCACTGGTGCCCTTTTCCCAGTTTTTGGTTCAAGGTGCGTCTTAGGTAAAGCTGGGGCTTTTTGAGGGCTTACGATCAAAATCCCTAAGCCCGCAGCTTGGGATGTTCGCCTCTTATACTACCAGTCCTTAATAGGGATGATCATAGCAATCCCCAACCCTAAACCCTAAACCCTGAACCAGAAAGCCTAAACCCTAAACCCCCTAACCTTAAACCTTAAACCCTAAACCCTAAACTTTTAGGGGTACCTAAGCCCTTCTCCCTTCTCCCTCTCCCTTCTCCCTACTCCCTAAACCCTAAACCCTAAACCCTAAACCCTAAACCCTAAACCCTAAACCCTAAACCCTAAACCCTAAACCCGAAACCCGAAACCCGAAACCATAAACCAGGAGAGGGACCAGCAGCTCGACCGGCTGCAGGCTGCCGGGCCTTCATCTTCTGAGGCGCGCGGAGTGCAGCAAGGGGAAGGGGGTTTGGGGTTTAGGGTTTAGGGTTTCGGGTTTAGGGTTTCGGGTTTAGGGTTTAGGGCTTGGGGGGTTGAGGGCTGCTGTCTTCGAATCGAGCCCTCCTGTGCACGGTCTCGTTGGCCCCTGTTTTGTTCCGCGCACGTTGTACAGTTCCTAGGGCGGCGCGCAGCCCAATGCCTTATACCCTTTCATGTATGAATTCTGTCTATATGATGCAAGGCATCTTCCTTAGATAGGACGGGACTTGGGCTCCTTGAATCTGTGTCTTGAAGTGTTCTCAGCTGAGTGCCCATAGACCCGGCTTCTTTCTGAGTTTGTTTGTTTTTGGGGTTTAGGGTTTAGGGTTTAGGGTTCAGGGTCTAGGGTCTAGGGTTTAGGGTTTAGGGTTTAGGGTCTAGGGTCTAGGGTCTAGGGTTTAGGGTTTCGGGTTTCGGGTTTAGGGTTCTCTTATCATGCGAGCAACCTTCAACCCAAGGGTGTGACAGGTGGGACGAGGCAGGGAGGTTCATGGTACTTCTTAATTTTGTGACTGCACTTCTATCACCCACTTTTAAGCCCCTTCAGGGGCCTCTTAAGCCCCTTCAGGGGCCTAATATGGTTATAAGTACAGGTATAAGCACAGTGTTAGTTGGTTAAGAAGTACCGTGAACCTCCAAGTACCATGCGCCTCACATGTCTTTTCCGGGCAGGACGGCAGGCAGGCAGCAGGCAGCAGTACAGCACTCAGGACAGCACCCTGCCCTAAACCCTGATGAAGCCCCAAAACCTAAAACCCTCAACCCTCAACCCTCAACCCTAAGCCCTGAACCCTAAAACCCTAAACCCTAAAACCCTAAACCCTAAACCCTAAACCCTAAACCCCAAACCCCAAACCCTAAACCCTAAACCCTAAACCTAAGCAGCAAGCAGCTCGCAAGGTGTCCGAGCCCACCTCCGAGGCCGCCAACGCGGTCGAGGCGGCGTTGTGCCTGGGCGTCAGCACGGGCGGGATGCCTGCAGAAAGGGTTGGGTTTGGGAGGTTTAGGGCTTAGGGTTTGGGAGGTTTCGCCCTACTTGGAGGTTCAAGGTACTGACTAACCAATTATAACTGTACTTATACCCCACTTATAAGCCCCTTACGTGTACGCAAATGGTCAGAAGTACAGTTATAAGTGTACTATACCCGGTTACTAAGTACCATGAACCTCCAAGTCAACACAACCCAAGAAACCCGAAACGAAGAGCAAACCCTGTAACCCCTAAACACCCTAAAACCCCTAAACATCCTAAACCCTGCCCTAAACCCCAAGTCCCTAAGCATCCTAAACCCCCCTAAACCCTACACTCTAATGCCTAAACCCTAAAACCCTAAACCCTGAACCCGAAACCCTAAATCTTAAACCCTAAACCCTAAATCCCACATCCCTAACCTTAGAGTTCCCCTACACCCTAAACCCGATGAAGCCAAGGAGGGAGGAACTGGAACAGTGCCGCGGAGAAATGGCGCGGTTGCGCGAGGAGTCGGAGTCCAGGCGGGGCCCTCCAGAGCGGTGCAGCCCAGCGGCACGCCGCCTTAAACCCCAACCCGAAAAGCCCCAAACAACTCCTAACCTCTGAACAGTTCTCGAAAACTTGGGGTCCCTGCTAGGAGGCCTTGAAGGGGCAGTACTACGACAGGGACCGCAGAAGTGAACCGCATGTCCACCCCTCCACTCGCACCGGATATCCCTCAAAGCAGTAGTACGGAGTATTCCCCCCTCTCTAATACACTTGAAGGGATATGGGGGTAGCTTACTTCCCTTCTTCCCTGCGAAGAAAACAGGAGGCTCTTTGGAGGCTGACAAGCGTAGACCTCTGTTCAAACTACGTCACCAAGTCCGCGGCAGGCGGCAGGAGTACTGAAACTGGTAGCATGATGAAGGAATGAGGGAACGAGGGAATGAGGGAATGAGGGAATGAGGGAATGAGGGAATGAGGGAACGAGGGAACGAGGGAGCGAGGGAACGAGGGAACGAGGGAACGGGAAAACGAGGGAATGAGGGAATGAGGGAATGAGGGAATGAGGGAATGAGGGAATGAGGGAATGAGGGAACGAGGAAACGAGGGAGCGAGGGAATGAGGGAATGAGAGAATGAGAGAATGAGGGAACGAGGGAACGAGGGAATGAGGGAATGAGGGAATGAGGTATATTGTCCCTTTGTAAAACAGCGGGAGCGAAGGGACCTATTTCCCTCAATCTCCAGTATGCCAAGTTCCTTCACAGCAACCCTAGTGAGCATAGAGCCGCAAGCCGACCCCCAAAACCCAAAACCCTAAACGGTTAGCCGGGGAACCGTCTGCACAACCTCTGTAGTAACTGTAGTAGTACCGATATTCGCTACCCCTAAGCTCTGACTGAGGCCCCCAAGGGGGGGGGGGGGGGGGGGGGGGGAAGGGGAGGGAAAAAACGGGGATCCTCACCTTAGAAGCAGCTCTCAGCCTCAAGTAAACCCGCTTTAAATCCTTGAAGCCTGAATCGTTTGAATCCGAAGCTCTCTCTGGGGTCGAGGGCCCAGACCCGTCCCTGGAAGCCTGAACGCGTGCCAGGCTCTCGCAGATCGTGCAGCAGAGCAAAGAGAAGCCTGGCTGCTGTGGGGAGGTTTAGGGCAGCTTTGGGGGTTGGGGATTCAGGGTTCAGGGTAGAGGGCTTAGGATAGCATAAGCCCCAAGCCTTATGATGAGAGGAGAGGGGGTTTAGGATTTGGGTGTCGTTACTTGGAGGTTCATGGTATGCATAACCCAGTTGTGGCTGTACTTATAACCGATTTGTAAGCCCCGTAAGTGCCCTGACACGGTTACAAATTGGCTAAAAGTACAGTGATAACGGGGCCAACAAGTACCATGAACCTCCAAGTATCTCACTAGAAGCCCGAAACCCTAAACCTAAGCCCTTAAGCGGAAAGCCCTAAACCCTTGTTGTTGCCCCGCCTTCCTCACAACCCCCTCCCCCCTGCCCGTTCTGCGCGGTTCCGAGTTCAGGGTTTAGGGTTCAGGGCTTGGGGTTCAGGGTTTAGGGTTCTAGAGTTTCAGTGCCTCCTTGCCTGTCTTTGAAGGGTTTGATGGCTGGAGAGCTTTCAACGTTGCAAGGACTTGAGAGGCCGAGCAACCCCAAACCCCAAAACCCTATCCGAGTTCGATTTTCTGAGCCCTAGGTGTAAGTCCCCCTAAACCCTAAACCCTAAACCCTAAACCCTAAACCCTGAACCCTGAACCCTGAACCCTAAACCCTAAACCCTAAACCCTAAACCCTCAACCCTCAACCCTCAACCCTAAACCCTAAACCCTAAACCCTAAACCCTAAACCCTCTAGACTCAAGCCCAGGAAGCTGCGCGAGGAGTTCAAATCCAGGCCGTGGCTGGTGAGGGCGGGGTTTCCCCAAATGCTAAAGTTTAGGGTTTAGGGTTTAGGGTTTAGGGTTTAGGGTTTAGGGTTTAGGGTTTAGGGTTTAGGGTTTAGGTTTACTAAAACCCAGAAGCCCTACATAAGCCTTACGACCCCGATTTAGGGTTGCCCGAAAGAGCCCCAACACCCCTGAATGAAGGAATAGACCTTAAGTTATAAACAGGATCCCTCCGTAGTTTGCGGCATCTTGCTTAATTAAGGGGCATTGAGCTCTGTGGGTGAGGGGTCGATCTTACTTGGAGATTCATGGTACCTGTTAACTCACTCACCATGTTAGTCCACTGAAGGGGCTTATGAGCGGTATAGAAGTGCAGCTATAACTTGGCGATATGTACCATGAACCTCCAGGTAGTGTTTAAACTTGAAGATTCAAGCATGGGGTTTAGGGTTTAGGGTTTGGGGTTTAGGGTATGGGGTTTAGGGTTTAGGGTTTAGGGTCCTGGCTCTGCATCAGACGTTCTTGCAGGCTCGCAGCTGTCGAGGAGAAGGACAAGATGCAGCCCTGATGGCATGAAGGGGTTTGGGAGGGTTTAGGGTTTAGGGTTTAGGGTTTAGGGTTCAGCATCTCATGTCCAAGCCTTCACTAGTCAAGCAGCTTGTCAAGCGTTGGAAAAAAACCCCACCCACCCAAGAAACCCATAACATTGAGAAAATACAAAGTTCATTCAATACATTTTCAGTAGGCTTATTGCTCAAAAGTCCGCCCAAAACCTAAAATCTAACTTTTTGGAAGCAAACGTTCCCTCTTAAGGGGGGTCGGAGTTGGAGGAAGCTCGGTTTGAGTCAAAAATCCAGAAAACGAGAGGCCACCCAGAACCGTCGACTTCAGTACTAAAAAATCGCATTTTCTATTGGGGCCCGGGCCGATCCTGGGGTCCCCCTCATTTGGGGTGTTTTTGGAAGCAAACTTTCCCTCTCAGTTTGAGGCCACGGGGGGTCTCCAAGACGATTTTGCCTTTAAAGTTGAAAAACACGACCCCCCTTGACCAAAACTAGGCTGAAAAGGTCGCAGGGGTGGCCCGTCATCAGAATTGAGGGTTAAAAACCCTGAAACCCCCTGAAAAACATTGGAAGACCTAAAAAACACGGAAAAACTTTGAAAAACCTTGACAGAACGTGACATCCTGAAGCCGGTGAAGCTCGGTTTTGGTCAAAAATCCAGGGCCCCCCCAATTAGAAAAAAACCATTTGCCCACGAAGGGGGTCAGGGTTTAGGGCCCCCCCCCGGGTGGAAAAAAACCATTTGCCCACGAAGGGGGTCAGGGTTTAGGGACCCCCCAATTGGAAAAAAACCATTTGCCCACGAAGGGGGTCAGGGAAGGGGGTCAGGGTTTAGGGCCCCCCCGGGTGGAAAAAAACCATTTGGTCACGAAGGGGGTCAAGGTTTAGGGCCCCCCTGGGTGGAAAAAAACCATTTGCCCACGAAGGGGGTCAGGGTTTAGGGCCCCCCCGGGTGGAAAAAAACCATTTGGTCACGAAGGGGGTCAGGGTTTAGGGCCCCCCCGGGTGGAAAAAAACCATTTGGTCACGAAGGGGGTCAGGGTTTAGGGCCCCCCCGGGTGGAAAAAAACCATTTGCCCACGAAGGGGGTCAGGGTTTAGGGCCCCCCGGGTGGAAAAAAACCATTTGGTCACGAAGGGGGTCAGGGTTTAGGGCCCCTCCGGGTGGAAAAAAACCATTTGGTCACGAAGGGGGTGGAAAAAAACCATTTGGTCACGAAGGGGGTCAGGGTTTAGGGCCCAAAGGCTCGGTTTTGATCAAAAATCCAGAAAACGAGAGCCCACCCAGAAGCGTCGATTTCAGTACTAAAAAATCGCATTTTGAACTGGGACCCGGGCCGATCATGGGGTCCCCCTCATTTGGGGTGTTTTTGGAGGCACGGCCCAGGAAAAAAACCATTTGGTCACGAAGGGGGTCAGGGTTTAGGGCCCAGAAAAAAACCACATGGTCACGAAGGTCATTAGGGTTTAAATATACATAGTAAAAGATGGTTTAGGGTTTAGGGTTTAGGGTGTAGGGTTTAGGGTTTAGGGTTTGGGGTTTAGGGTTTAGGGTTTAGGGTTCGGGGTTTGGGGTTTAGGGTTTAGGGTTTAGGGCACCGTTACCCTGAACACTTTCACGTCACATCCGATTCCAGGGGTTTAAGGGTTTCGGGTCTACGGGGCTACCCTGAACCCTGAACCCTAAACCCTAACCCTAAACCCTGAACCCGAACCCTAAACCCTGATCCCTGAACCCTAAACCCTAAACCCTAAACCCTGAACCCTGAACCCTGAACTTTGAGGGGCCCCTAAACTTCAGGGGCTGTGAGGCCTCGAGCTTGGAACAAAAGCGGGCCCGAAGAGCTCGGGATCGTGGGGTTTAGGGCCGTTTGGGGTTTAGGGTTTAGGGTTTAGGGTTTAAGCCTGCGGGAGCTGAGCCCTGCAGCCCTGCTGCTGAACCTGAAGCCCTAAACCCCAAACCTAAACCCTAAACCCTAAACCCTAAACCCTAAACCCTAAACCCTAAACCCTAAACCCTAAACCCTAAACCCTAAACCCTAAACCCTAATTAAACCCTAAACCCCATAAACCCTAAACCCTAAACCCTAAAGACTTGTGTGGAGCTTGAGCTGCACCGCCAGTGCAGTACCCCCCAGGGGTACCCCGCCCCCCCTTCCCAAAGCGCCCAATACCCCTTGATTAAGGAACATTCCCTAAATCATATTCAGGATCCCTTTATAATTTAAGGTATATTCCTTAATTAGGGAGTATTGGGCTCTCTGGGTTGTCCGATTCTCAAGTATTACAAAGAAACCCGAAACCTGGTACGGAGGAGCCGAAAATGGCTTCTGCACGTCGCCCCTGGCCCCCACTCCAACCCACTACCAAACCCAAAACCTCTCTTTTGAGCCTATCCCGCCAGGGGGGCGAGGGGGGGGGCCAGGGGGGTGCCGTGGGAAGGATGGACAACCCAACCTTTCTGGTTGTGGTGGCTCCAATTTCAATCTTCGCCGCCGCGACATGTGCCGCCCCATCACACCGCATGAAATCTACTGCCGCGGCGCGGCGAGAAGCCCTAAACCCTAAACCCTAAACCCTAAACCCTAAACCCTAAACCCTAAACCCTAAACCCTCTACCCTAAACCCTAAATCCCAAAAGGATTCCCAGCCAAGGGGCGTGGAACTGGCTCAGTGCCAAGCAGAGCTCGAGCAGCTGCGCCAGGAGTCCGAAACGAGGCCTTCCCGGGTGTTTTGAAGTGTTTCTAGGGTTTAGGGTTGAGGGTTTGGGGTTTAGGGTTTAGGGTTTAGTCAAAAAAATGGTCCCTCAACCTCTTCCTGGAAGCCTGAGCTCTATAAGGGGGTTTCCGAAAAGAAGGGGCCCCTAAATAGACCCTCAAAATAGCAGGATTCCCTTAGAATAAGGACCCCTAACAAGGTGTCCCTAATATCGTAAACCCCCGTCCTAAACCCTAAACCCTAAACCCTAAACCCTAAACCCTAAACCCTAAACCCTAAACCCTAAACCCTAAACCCTAAACCCTAAACCCTAAACCCTAAACCCAAAACTCCCTCAAGTCCCAAACTCCTTCCTGCGCCCGAAGAAGTTCATGGGCTCCTGGGCTCCGGGCGGCCACCCCCTCCGACCCTTTCCCACCCCAGGGTTTGGGTTTAGGGTGTATTGGGTTTAGGGTTTAGGGTTTAGGGTTTAGGGTTTAGGGCTTAGGGCTTAGGGTTTAGGGTTTAGGGTTTAGGGTTTACGGTTTAGGGTTTAGGGTCTACCCACCCTGTGAGGAAGGAGGAGGCAGAGCGGCACGCCGAAGCGCCACTTTCCGGCAATATGTACTCTGGGGCTCAGTTCGGGACTCTTAGTGGTGCCCAAACATGTTCCTGTTCCTGTGAGGCAAAGCGCCTGTGTGCACCTAATTAAGTTTGTACCTGCCCTTGCCTCGGCCTAAATCTCCGCGGAGTCTGCACGGGATGAAACCAGCAAGGCCCTAAACTGAGTGGGCTTTTGAAGAAATCATCGGCCACTCACTTCCGGGTTGCTGAAGAACTGTACTTGGCGCCCAGGAGTGAGAAGCTGGAGCAGTGCCAAGCAGAGCTGGAGCAGCTGCGCCAGGAGTCGGAAACGAGGCCATCGGTAGTTCTGGAGGGGGAGGGTGTCGTCGGGTTTTGTTCTGGCATTGTGTTTCAGCCGGAAACCTGACGATTTGGCAGGAAGCTTGTTTTTTTCGCGAGAAAGGCTCTTTGAGTTTTAGCCTTCTGCCGGGAAGCCCTTAAGCCGCATATCCCAAATTCCACACCGAGCCCCTTCAACTTATCCCTGGAAGTTTCCAAATCCCGGCCCTATACTTGTTACCCTAAACCCTAAACCCTAAAGTTACTCGGCCCACTCCCTCTCCCACCTCGCTGTGAGGAAGGGGGAGGACGAGCGGCATGCCGATGCGCAACTTTGCGGCAACACATCTGCTCGGGGGTTGACGGTGTTTTTGAACATGTAATTGCAGTATCTATATATACACATGAACAGACTATTGTAAGCGTTGCACACTATACTATCAGTTGATGGCCCAATATACGCCCGATGAAGATTGTAACCCTTTTGGCTTTCTCGTATAGAGCAACGAAATACCACTATTGCGATTCATAGCAGTATCACAGAAATCTGTACGACGTCACTACAAACATGTGTGTCATTGTCATAATCTAGTACTGTCACTGTCAGTGTGACTATTGGATTGGTGTTTTTTTTTACTATTTCTATCATTGACGAGGGCAGGGCATGCAGGGCGCGATGATGAGGCGAAGCCAGTCTTCGCACTAAAAGCAGAAGAGTGCAAACGGACCTGCAGCGGTTGCAAGACTTGTACTCGGCACCCAGGAGTGAAGAGCTGGCGCAGTGCCAAGCAGAGCTGCAGCGGCTGCGCCAGGAGTCCGAAACAAGGCATGGGGGCTGAGGATTCACCACCCCCCCCCCCCCAAAAGCCTCATCAGCCGGACTGCTGCAGATGACCTGGCCAGTCGACTCATGACACCTCGCTGCTGCCGCAAGAAGAGCCCCGCAAGCCCGCAAACCGCGTTTGGTCAGATTTTGTTCTGGCATTGTGTTCAGCCTGTGGCTCGGGCAAGCTCTAACCTTCCTGTTCCTGGACGCCGAAGCCGGAAGCCGAAGCCGAAGCCAAAGCCGAAGTCCTTGAACCCCCAAACCGGCCCGAGCTCCTGAGTTGCGGGCGGCCACCCCCTCCACCCCCTGCCCTGTGAGGAAAGAGGAGGCAGAGCGGCATGCGGAAGCGACGCTTGCCGGCAGCATATGCCTGGGGGGCTGGCGCTGAGGGTCAAGTTTCAGTTTTGGGACTCTTAGTGGGTTTGGAGCACCCCCCCCCCACCCTCCCCACAGCTGCCCAATCTAGTTTGCACCTACTCCCTAGAGAGCCCAATACTCCTTAATTAAGGAATATACCTGATGTTGTACAGGGATCCTTAATATGATTTAGGGAACATTCCTTAATTAAGGGGTATTGGGCTCTTTGGGTCCCTGGGGCGGGTTCCACAGAGCCTGCACTCAGGGCAAGGCTTGGGAGACTGAGATGAAACCAGCAAAGCCCTGAACCCAAAGAGCCCAATACCCCTTAATTAAGGAATATTTCTTACATCATAATAAGGATCCCTTTATCATTTAAGGTATATTCCTTAATTAAGGAGTATTGGGCTCTCTGGGTAGTCCCTAGGCTAGCACGTTGCGAGAATTCTGCACTTCTGGTCAGAAGACGTATGAAGAGCTTTCCGCATTCAGGCAAAAGGACACCTCATGATCAAGTTGCTTAAGATCTGTACTTGGCACCCAGGAGTGAGAAGCTGGCGCAGTGCCAAGCAGAGCTGGAGCGGCTGCGCCAGGAGTCCGAAACGAGGCCATCGGTAGTTCTGGAGAAAATTGACGATTTGGCAGGAAGCCCGTTGACCGTGAGAAAGGCTCTCTAAGCTTTAGCCTTCTGCTGAAAACTCTCAAGCCGTATATCCCAAATTCCACACCGAGCCCCTTCAACCTATTGCTGGAAGCGAAGAATTTCATGAGCTCGTGAGCCCCCCCGCCCCCGCCCAGTGCCTCCTTGCTGGGAGGAAAGGCGAGGAAGACCTGCGCGCCGAAGCGCCGCTCTCTCCAGCAACATTATGCCCCCGAGGCTTGAGGCTGAGGGCGAGTCAAGCTTCAGCTCAGGAGTGGGTTTCACAGTTTCAGGGGTCCAGCGTGTGCACCTAATTAAGCTTGCACTTCCCACTGCCTGGGCCGAAAACCTCTACGGAGTTTTGCGCTCAACCAGCAAAGCCGGAGACTCTTTGCTAGGGCTTTTCAAGAATTTTCAAGAGTTCTGTTCCCGCAAACAGGAGAACAATGCAAACCAAGCCGCAGTTGCAAGATTTGTGCTGGGCACCCAGGAGTGAAGAGCTGGCGCAGTGCCAAGCAGAGCTGCAGCGGCTGCGCCAGGAGTCCGAAACGAGGCCATCGGCAGTTCCGGGGTTCGCTGCTCCCGCAAGAAGACCTCCACAAACCCCCCAAACCGACTTTGGTCAGACTTTGTCCTGGCACTGTGTTTCGGGCTGGGGGCGGCCACCCCGTCCCACCCCCTGTGAGGAAGGAGGAGGCAGAGCGGCACGCGGAAGCGCCGCTTTCCAGCAACATGTGTTGCAGGGGTTGACGTTGAAAGTGGCTTTGGAGCTAGTCTAGTTTGCAACTGTCACTCCCTGGGGCGGATTCCACACTGCTTGCACTCCGGGCGCGGAGACTGAGACGAAACCGGCATTACCCTGAATGGTTCTAGACCAGGGTATTTCAGGAGTTCTCCTTGTCTGTTCAACAAAGGTATGTAGAATGTTCCGCATTCGGGAAAGACTACAGAAGCTTAAGCCTCATGATTTGTATCAAGTTGCTGTACTTGGCACGCAGGAGTGAGAAGCTGGCACAATGCCAAGCAGAGCTGGAGCGGCTGCGCCAGGAGTCCGAAACGAGGCTCTCAAAATGTTTAGCCTTCTGCCGAAAACTCTCAAGCCGTATATCCCAAATTCCACACCGAGCCCCTGCAACCTATTGCTGGAAACATCCGAAGCCCAACCTTAGCCCGATGAGCTCGTGAGCCCCCACGCCCCCGTCCCGTGCCTCCTTGCTGGGAGGAAAGGCGAGGAAGACCTGCGCGCCGAAGCGCCGCTCTCTCCAGCAACATTATGCCCCCGAGGGTTGAGGCTGAGGGCGAGTCAAGCTTCAGCTCAGGAGTGGGTTTCACAGTTCAGGGGTCCAGCGTGTGCACCTAATTAAGCTTGCACTTCCCACTGCCTGGGCCGAAAACCTCTACGGAGTTTTGCGCTCAACCAGCAAAGCCGGAGACTCTTTGCTAGGGCTTTTCAAGAATTTCAAGAGTTCTGTTCCCGCAAACAGGAGAACAATGCAAACCAAGCCGCAGTTGCAAGATTTGTACTGGGCACCCAGGAGTGAAGAGCTGGCGCAGTGCCAAGCAGAGCTGCAGCGGCTGCGCCAGGAGTCCGAAACGAGGCCATCGGCAGTTCCGGGGTTCGCTGCTCCCGCAAGAAGACCTCCACAAACCCCCCAAACCGACTTTGGTCAGACTTTGTCCTGGCACTGTGTTTCGGGCTGGGGGCGGCCACCCCGTCCCACCCCCGCCCTGTGAGGAAGGAGGAGGCAGAGCGGCACGCGGAAGCGCCGCTTTCCGGCAACATGTGTTGCAGGGGTTGACGCTGACGGTGGCTTTGGAGCTAGTCTAGTTTGCACCTGTTACTCCCTGGGGCGGATTCCTCACTGCTTGCACTGTGGGCGCGGAGACTGAGATGAAACCGGCAATACCCTGAATGGTTCTAGACCAGGGAATTTCAGGAGTTCTCCTTGTCTGTTCAACAAAGGTATGTAGAATGTTCCGCATTCGGGAAAGACTACAGAAGCTTAAGCCTCATGATTTGTATCAAGTTGCTGAAGATCTGTACTTGGCACGCAGGAGTGAGAAGCTGGCACAATGCCAAGCAGAGCTGGAGCGGCTGCGCCAGGAGTCCGAAACGAGGCTCTCAAAATGTTTAGCCTTCTGCCGAAAACTCTCAAGCCGTATATCCCAAATTCCACACCGAGCCCCTGCAACCTATTGCTGGAAACATCCGAAGCCCAACCTTAGCCCGAAGAATTTCATGAGCTCGTGAGCCCCCACGCCCCCGTCCCGTGCCTCCTTGCTGGGAGGAAAGGCGAGGAAGACCTGCGCGCCGAAGCGCCGCTCTCTCCAGCAACATATGGCTGCGAGGGTTGAGGCTGAGGGCGAGTCAAGCTTCAGCTCAGGAGTGGGTTTCACAGTTTCAAGGGTCCTGCCTGGGCCGAAAACCTCTACGGAGTTTTGCGCTCAACCAGCAAAGCCCTCGACTCTTTGCTAGGGCTTTTCAAGAGTTTTCAAGAGTTCTGTTCCCGCAAACAGCAGAAGAGTGCATACGCGAAACAGTTGCAAGATTTGTACTTGGCACCCAGGAGTGAAGAGCTGGCGCAGTGCCAAGCAGAGCTGCAGCGGCTGCGCCAGGAGTCCGAAACGAGGCCGTCGGCAGTTCCGGGGTTCGCTGCTTCCGCAAGAAGACCTCCATGAACCCCCCAAACCGACTTTTTCCAGACTTTGTCCTGGCACTGTGTTTCGGGCTGGGGGCGGCCACCCCCTCCCACCCCCGCCCTGTGAGGAAGGAGGAGGCAGAGCGGCACGCGGAAGCGCCGCTTTCCGGCAACATGTGTTGCAGGGGTTGACGCTGACGGTGGCTTTGGAGCTAGTCTAGATTGCACCTGTTACTCCCTGGGGCGGATTCCTCACTGCTTGCACTCCGGGCGCGGAGACTGAGATGAAACCGGCAATACCCTGAATGGTTCTAGACCAGGGCATTTCAGGAGATCTCCTTGTCTGTTCAACAAAGGTATGTAGAATGTTCCGCATTCGGGAAAGACTACAGAAGCTTAAGCCTCGTGATTTGTATCAAGTTGCTGAAGATCTGTACTTGGCACGCAGGAGTGAGAAGCTGGCACAATGCCAAGCAGAGCTGGAGCAGCTGCGCCAGGAGTCCGAAACGAGGCTCTCAAAATGTTTAGCCTTCTGCCGAAAACACACAAGCCTTATATCCCAAATTCCACACCGAGCCCCTGCAACCTATTGCTGGAAACATCCGAAGCCCAACCTTAGCCCGAAGAATTTCATGAGCTCGTGAGCCCCCACGCCCCCGTCCCGTGCCTCCTTGCTGGGAGGAAAGGCGAGGAAGACCTGCGCGCCGAAGCGCCGCTCTCTCCAGCAACATATGGCTGCGAGGGTTGAGGCTGAGGGCGAGTCAAGCTTCAGCTCAGGAGTGGGTTTCACAGTTTCAAGGGTCCTGCCTGGGCCGAAAACCTGTACGGAGTTTTGCGCTCAACCAGCAAAGCCCTCGACTCTTTGCTAGGGCTTTTCAAGAGTTTTCAAGAGTTCTGTTCCCGCAAACAGCAGAAGAGTGCATACGCGAAACAGTTGCAAGATTTGTACTTGGCACCCAGGAGTGAAGAGCTGGCGCAGTGCCAAGCAGAGCTGCAGCGGCTGCGCCAGGAGTCCGAAACGAGGCCGTCAGTACTTCCTGGAAGGATGGTTCGCCAACCTCAAACCCGAACCCTCCCCCGTAAGCATCGTCACCTAGTCACCTAGAAGACTGCTGCTGCCACGTGTGACCTGCTCCAGTGACTCGTGACATTTCGCTGCTTCCACAAGAAGAGGTCCCGTGAACCTCGGACAAGCGCTGGCCTTCCTTTCCCAAAGAGCCCAATACCCCTTAATTAAGGAGTATTGCTTAAATCATACTAAGGATCCCTTTATAATTTAAGGTATGTTCCTTAATTAAGGGGTATTGGGCTCTCTGGGTTGGCTGGAAGCCTCCGGAGCTGAAACCTCCGTGCCCTTGAACCCCTTAAACTGGCCCGCTCCGGAGCTGTGGGCGGGCACCCCCCTCCCACCCCAGGGCTTAGGTTTAGGGTTTAGGGTTTAGGGTTTAGGGTTTAGGGTTTAGGGTTTAAGGTTTAGGGTTTAGGGTTTAGGGTTTAGGGTTTAGGGTTTAGGCCCACACTGTGAGGAAGGAGGAGGCAGAGCGGCACGCCGAAGCGCCGCTTTCCGGCAACATGTGCTCTTGGGCTGACGCTGCGGGTCTCCGTTTTATGACTCTTCGTGTTTGGGTCCCAACACCTGAGAGTCTGTCGGACGTAGCCAGGCCCACAAAGCCAGCCAGGATTGGGAGGGGAACTGCATCTCACAAACGTACTCACGCTGGGATGACTTCGTAAACCCCAGGTGGCGTGGCTTGGGGTTAAGAGCTTGAGGCCGCTTTGCAACGAGCTTAGAGTTTAGAGATTTTGGGAACTTACGGGGTTTAGGGTTTAGGGTTTAGGGTTTAGGGTTTAGGGTTTAGGGTTTAGGGTTTAGGGTTTAGGGTTTAGGGTTTAGGGTTTAGGGTTTAGGGCTTGTAGGGGTAGGTTGGGGAGCTTACAGCACAACTTTAAATCCTAACCCCGAGACCTTTTAACCTTTAAAGCCCCGAGCAACAAAGCAAACGCTTGAACTCTAAACCCCAAACCCCAAACCCCAAACCCCAAACCTCAAACCCCAAACCCTAAACCCTGAAACCTAAACCCTGAGACCTAAACCCTCAACCCGCTGTTTTTGAATGTAAGCTTACCAGGACCCCTAGACCCTAAGCCCCAAGGAGCCAGGAGCTGACCCGTTGCCAAGCCGAGCTGGAGCAACTACGTCAGGAGTCCGAAACCAGGCCTCGGGACTTTTCAGTGATGGAGTGGGTCTTAGGCTGACACAGGCATAGGGTTCTTTGGTGGTTCCTCTGGTTGTAGGGTTCTATAGTATTCTTAAGGGTTTAGGGTTTAGGGTTTAGGGTTCTTGAGGGGTTCAAGGCGGGTATGTAAACCAATGTTCCCTGACTCCCCACTACTCCCTGGCTCCCTAAGCTTCCCGACCGTTCCCTAGGTACCTACCCTCCATGACCCCCTCCCCCCCCTCCCTTAAGGACCCTTTTAGAGTCAGTGAGGTGGGTTTTTGGGTTCGGGGTCGAGTTTCGGGTTTGGGGTAGGGTTTAGGGTTTAGGGTTCAGGGTTCAGGGTTTAGGGTTTAGGGTTTAGGGTTAGGGTTTAGGGTTTAGGGTTTGGGGTCTAAGACTTAGGGTTTAGGGTTTAGGGGTCTAGATAGCTGAGATCCGCACAAGATGCCGAATGTCATGTGAGGCCGGCGGGAAGTGCATGGAATGAGCGGATGCTTTCGAAGATGAAACGATCTCTAAGGCTTTAGACTCTAAGGCCTCAACTCCATGCACCAAAAGGGAGGCTTAAACTAAGCCCTAAACCCTAAGCCCTAAGCCCTAAGCCCTAAACCCTAAACCCCAAACCCTAAACCCTAAGCCCTAAGCCCTAAGCCCTAAACCCTAAACCCTGAACCCCTAAGCCCCATACCCCTCCGCTGCAGAGCTCATGGGCAAGGCGGGCGGACTTGGCCCAGAAGTCCGCGGAGCCACTTGATTAGGTTTCAGGGTTCAGGGTTTAGGGTTTAGGGTTCAGGGTTTAGGGTTTAGGGTTTAGGGGTAGGGTTTAGGGTTTAGGGTTTAGGGTTTAGGGTCTAGGGTTTAGGGTAGGGTTTAGGGTTATCGGTTTAGAGCTTAGGGTTTTGGGCTCTAGGGGCTTGGGGTGTGGCTGTTTAGGGGTTTTCGAATTTGGGGTTCGGGATTTTGGATTTAAGTGCAGTTTTGAGTTTAGGGTTTAGGGGGTTCGGGGTCTAGGATTCAAACGTTGGTTTAGGGTTTACCGGTTTAGGATCGAAGGACTCTGGGTTGAGAGCTTAGGGCTTCAGTGCTTTAGGGGTTAAGGGTTTGGGGGTTCAGGGCTTAGGGTTCCTGAACCCTGTAAGCCATAAACCTCACACCCTAAACCCTAAACCTTAAACCCTAAATCCAAAACCCTAAACCCTAAACCCTAAACCCTAAACCCTAAACCCTAAACCCTAAACCCTAAACCCTAAACCCTAAACCCTAAACCCTAAAGCCTGCAAGCCCCAAACCTTGGCAGCAGGGTTTCGGGCCTCGTAGCCTGCAACATCCCGCGCGCGCGCGCGCGCGCGCGCGCGCGGGCGAAGAGCTCAAGTGCACGCGCCGAACCCGAAGCCTCAAATCGGACATTTGCACGTTATGTTTGGGGTTTAGGGTTTAGGGTTTGGGGTTTAGGGTTTAGGGCTTCGGGTTTAGGGTTTAGGGCCTAGGGTTTAGGGTTTGGGGTTCCCGCTGTTTCTTGTGTTTGAGGGGCAACTAACGCTCAACCCGAAGCAGCCCTAAGTCCTCCTCACCACCATCAGAAAAAGACCCGAGCCCCCGAAGCTGAAACCTGAAACCTGAAACCCTAAACCCTAAACCCTAAACCCTAAACCCTAAACCCTAAACCCTAAACCCAAAACCCCTCAAAATCCTCAACCCCTGAGTGTTCGAAGCCTGAAGAGAATCCGGTTGTAGGGTTGTAGGTTTGGATGTTCCCCCTTATACTAACAGTCCTTATTCGGGGTTCTAGTACCCCCCTTACTAGAATCCCTATTAAGGGCTGTTACTGTAGCATAAAGGGGAACATCCCAACCAAGCTGCAGGTTTATCCCTAACCCCCTGAACCCTAACATCCTGAGCCCTAAAATCCTGAACCGTGGTCCCCTAAGTTTTAAGCCCTAAGCCGTAAGCCCTAAGCCCTAAACCCTAAGCCCTAAACCATAAACCCTAATCCTAAACCCTAAACCCTAAACCCTAAACCCTAAACCCTAAACCCTAAACCCTAAACCCTAAACCCTAAACCCTAAACCCTAAACCCTAAGCCCTAAGCCCTAAGCCCTAAGCCCTAAGCCCTAAGCCCTAAGCCCTAAGCCCTAAACCTAAACCCTAAACCCTAAGCCCTAAACCCTAAACCCTAAACCCCTAAACCCTAAACCCGAAACCCTAAACCCTAAACCCTAAACCCTAACCCTAAACCCTAAACCCTAAGCCCTACATCCTAAGCCCTAAGCCCTAAACCCTTCGAAGGCTGGAGGACTCCCAAGCCGAGCTCGCCCGTCTGCGGGCGGGGGCGGCCAGGCATCCCGTGGGGCCGGGGTGGCGGGGTTTGGGGTTTGGGGTTTAGGGTTTAGGGTTTAGGGTTTAGGGTTTAGGGTTTAGGGTTTAGGGTTGAGGGTGCCAAGCCCTAAGCCCTCAAAACCCTCAATCCCTAAAGCAAGCCGCGCTTTTAGAGGACTGCCGACGAAGATGCTGCGCCTGAGGAGTTTCCTTGATGCATTGAAATCTAAACCCTAAACCCGAAACCCTTAACCCTAAACCCGAAACCCTAAACCCCGAAACCCTAAACCCTAAACCACTCCAAGCCCTCCACCTCAAGTGTGGTCACCAAGGAACGTCGAGCTCGCGGAGTGCCGGGCCGAGCTGGCACAGCTGCGGGAGGAGTCAGAATCGAGGCGCTGTTTGGGGAGTGGGGGCTCGGGTTTAGGGTTTAGGGTCTAGGGTTTAGGGTTTAGGGTTTAGGGTCTCGGGGTGGGGGGTGGGTGGGGAGGGGGGGTTGAATTAGGGCGAACGCCCCCAAACCCCAAACCCTACACCCTAAACCCCTAAACCCTAAGCCCTAAACCCTAAACCCTAAACCCTCAACCCTCAACCCTAAACCCTGAACCCTCAACCCTAAACCCTAAACCCTAAACCCTAAACCCTAAACCCTAAACCCTAAACCCTAAACCCTAAACCCTAAACCCTAGCGAAGTTGGTGGCTTGCAAAGCTGCCTGCTTGATCCTCAGCCAGAAGACAGGCGAGCATTGCTGTTGTGGGAAGCTGACACAGTATCACCTCTGCGAGTGAGGACACCCAACCCGCAAACTGCAAACCCCAAACCCCAAACCCCAAACCCCAAACCCCAAGCCCCAAGCCCCAAGCCCGAAACCCTAAACCCTAAACCCTAAACCCTAAATTCCGAACTCCCAAAACCTTGTTCTAAATATTCTAGCGCTTGGGCTGCCGGATGTTGGGAATGGACGGCTGCGCAGCGTTGGCGATCACGCTCACGGTTCATCCCTAAGATCCCTAAACCCCAAGAAGGCTTTACGGTTTAGGGTTTAGGGTTTAGGGTAACCGTGAACCCCTTAAAGCCTGAACCCCTCAACCCTAGCCCTAAAGCCTAAATACCCTCAAGGCCCAAGTCCCTAAAACCCCAAGCCCCTCAGCTAAACCTCAAACCCACAACCCTTAAGGCCTAACGCCCTACATCTAAGCTGCCTGGTTACTTAATATGGGGCCCTTGATTGGGGAACTTTTCTATACCCGCGATCTACCCGACAATGCCTAAGGGCTCATAATTCAGAACCACCTAGGTAAGGGACCCCTAAACCCTAAACCCTAAACCCTAAACCCTAAACCCTAAACCCTAAACCCTAAACCCTAAACCCTAAACCCTAAACCCTAAAACCCCAAACCCTAAACCCTACACCCAAAACTCCATTTAGGGACTATGTAACTTCCCTTAGACCTTGGCGAGAGGCTCTCCGACGTCGTGCGGAAGTCCAAAGAGTGCCTTACTAGCAACTTCCGAAGTTAGGGCTTTAGGGTTTTGGGATGGTTTTGGGTTTTAGGGTTTAGGGTCTTAGGGTTGGATTTGCCGGCCTTTTTCCTAACCCCACCCTAACCCCAACAACCACTTGAACCCTAAACCACAAACCCTAAACCCTAAACCCTCAACCCTCAACCCTATGTAAACCCTACCCAACCACACCTTGAGCCTTCACGTTGGACCCTGCTGCCACTCTCCACACCCCTTGCCTGTACGCTGTAACGCTTAACCTAAAGAGCCGATACCCCGTAACTACAGGATTCAGGGTTCAGGGTGCAGGGTTTAGGTTTTAAACCACTTTAAGGATCCCTATATGCTTTTGGTCATTTTTTTGAATTAAGGGGTATTGCCCTCTCCGGCTTAAACCCTAAATCATCCTAAACCCTAAAAGACCTCTTCAGCTCTAACCCATTGGCCTGTAAGAAAACCTACATCCTACCCCAGAAGAGCCCTTTACCTTCAAGCTGTGTTCCTTAAACTGTTTTAGGGCTTCGGGGTGTCGGGTTCTGTAGGCCCTGGGCGACACAAAAACACTTTGAGCCCTGATCCCCAAGCAGCCTGGAGCTCCATACCACTCCAAAAGGGAAGAGACTTTAGACTATATAGGGATCCTTAGTATGGTTTTAGGCCTCTTCTGTAGTTGAGGGGTGTAGACGGTATCGGGGTCCTGAGTATGAGGGGTATGGGTTGTATAGGGGTCCTTCGTATGATTTAAGGCGCATTCCTTAGTTGAGGGGGTACAAAGGGCTCTCGGGCTTGTAGCCAAGGCATTTGCTCTCTTTGCAGACGCGCCGATGCCCCGAAGTGCTGATGCTCTGTGTGCCTCTTGAAACCTCCTCTGGGAGGTTCATGGTGCTTTTCACCAAGCCCATAACAACTGTACTTGTAAACCCACTTCTAAGTCCCTTATATGTGCCCTAACGGTTGTACTTGGGCTATATGTGCAGTGAGAAGTAGTTCATCAACCTCCACGTAATACAGGGGTCGGAAGAATTACTAGTATTATTCCTTGCTGGTCCCTTTGGAATTACATTATCATGACCCCCAAAACCCTATTCTAATAATGTTCGGCCACCATATGAAGCACTAAACCCTGAGCCGACTAGCCTCTGAAAACCCGAAGCGCCCCATCCCCAATTCAAGTGCCGCTGGGTTCAGGGTTTGGGGCTTTGCAGGGTTCTTGAGTGCTGCGAAATTACTTCGTTTAGGGTCTTGTCACGGTCTTGTCTGAAAACCTTGAATCCCAAACCCTTGACCCTAAGCCCTAAAGCCCTAAAGCCCTAAAGCCCTAAAGCCCTAAAGCCCTAAAGCCCTAAAGCCCTAAAGCCCTAAAGCCCTAAAGCCCTAAAGCCCTAATGCCCTAAAGCCCTAAAGCCCTAAAGCCCTAAAGCCCTAAAGCCCTAAAGCCCTAAAGCCCTAAAAAGCCCTAACACCCTAAAGACCTAAAGCCCGAAAGCCCTAACACCCTAAAGCCCTAAACCCTAAACTCCAAAGTCTCTATTGTTCAGGGCCATCGTTCAAAGCCTGAGAGATGCTGCAACAAGTTTGGCACGGTTAGGGTTTTAGGTTAAGGGTTTAGGGTTTAAGGTTTAGGGTTTAGGGTTTGGGGCTTGGGGTTTGGGGTTTAGGGTTTGGGGGTTTAGGGTTTAGGGTTTACTTGGAGGTTCAGAGTACTTATCACCCAATTGTAACTGTACTTATAAGCCTTCTAAGGTCAGAAGTAGACGTATTCTTGGGCCGGGGTCACAAGTACTCAGTCCCCTTCCGCAAAAGCTTAGCTATAAACCAGCAACCTGGTACCCCGCAATTCGAATCCGAAGCTCTCTGACTCCCCCCTAGCCCTTTCTGCAAGAGCGAATGCTCGAGGTTTGGAGGCAGCTTCCGCTGAGAACGCCGAGCTCTGTGAGAAGTCAGGGCCATAGCTGCGTAGGGTTCAGGGTAACGACGGGCTGCTTCTGCGCCACATGGCCCACATGGCTGCCTTGGAGGAGTTAGATGGCCCAACAGGGGTCGGACCGTTGCTCAAGCCGGCACCTTCTCAGTCTACTAAAGTTAGAAAGTCATGCTGGGAAGTGCAGAATGCGAGAAGGTTCAAGAGTCAAGAAGGACAGTGAAGAGTTAGCGAGGCATAGGGTGAGCCAGAGAGAGAGCCCAGCAGGCCAAAAACGAGCTTCTTGATACCTCGGCGGCTGTCGAAAGTAGCTGGGCTCTAGATCTCACTACCATGTGAAGGGTTTAGGGTTTAGGGTTTAGGGTTTAGGGTTAGGGTTTTAGGGTTTAGGGTTTAGGGTTTAGGGTTCTTAGAGGGTTCAGGGCTTAGGGTTCAGGCTTTAGGGTTTCAAGTTTAGGGTTTAGGGCTAAGAGTCATGCCCTGCTGTATTCAGAGGTCGCCGCGCTGACATTAGTTTAAGCATAGAGACGAAGATCCTGGCTTAGATATGACGGACGAGCAGCCGAACAGCTCCGCGCTCTTCCTCGTGGACCCGATGCAAGGGAGGGGCGTGCTGATAGATCGGCGGGCTCAGGAATTTGCCTGCTCTGCCACACCGTAAAGGGGTTAGAGAAGCTGCAGTCTGAGGTTAGAACTAATCAGTCTCTCGCTTTGCTAAGGTTCGTTCTGAACCGCCGCAAAAACCAAGCATTAACCTTGCGGGGAAATATTGTTTGAGAGGCCCTTCCGGCCAGAACCTTTGTGTTGTTTTGCTGCAAGCGCTTGTTTGTGGCTGTTTGTGACTGGCGGGTCTGTGCGCACCTGCCGCGCTCGAGGCACCCACGAAGTGGGTGCCCACTAAGAGGGCTCCCCAAAACCCTAAACCCCCCAGAGACTCCAAAACCCCTTAATTAAGGAATATACCTTAAATCATATTAGGGTTCCTATTATAATTTAAGGTATATTCCTTAATTAAGGGGTTTTGGAGTCTCTGGGTCTTGTCTGTCTTGAAATTGCTACCCTAGGAACGATGGAAGATATGCGGTACCTACTTAAACCTTTTACGGTTTAGGGTTGAGGTGCACCTGCCGCAAGCTGCTGTAGAAAGGCTGGCAGAAGCGAGGGCATTCCAGGAATCTCGTAGGTATGTGGTAGGAATGTGGACACCACCTGCGTTCCAAGTATACCTAATTATACCTAAACTTTAAGATGTTCCTGTCGTGAGCTATTATCTGCTTGTTTGTTCCCCCGAAAACATGAAAAAAAAAGAATCCGCAAGTTGCCCTTATAAGGAAGAATACTGTTTTTTTTTTTTTTTTGTGGGGGGGGGGGGGTGGGGGGGTGGGCGGGTGGGTTCTTAAACATCTTCTAGCCCCAATCAATGCCTAAACCCTAAATGCAAAAACCCTAAACCCGAAACCCGTAACCCTAGACCCTGAACCCTAAATCCGAAACCCTAAACCCTAAACCCTAGACCCTAAACCCCAAATCCTCAACCTTGGGTACGGGGTTTAGGGCGCTGAAGCGGTGATGTTCCATATACGAGGCTGAAAGAAGCTGAAGAGGGGCAGCAGCAACAGCAGGAGAAGCTTGCAAAGTCCCTCGGCAAGCATACTTGGTTCAGGGTTTTGGGTTTAGGGTCTAGGGTGTGGGGTTTACGGCTTCTACAGAGATGCTTGGAGGTTCATGGTGCTTATTAATCCAGTTGTAAAAGTACCTTATACCCCAACTAGAACCCTGTTGGGACACTTGCAAGGGGCTTTGCAGTTGGTTATAAGTGCAGTGATAAGTGGGTTCTGCGTACCATGAACCTCCAAGTAGACTTTGAGTGTGTTGGGTGCGGGGATGGAAGGGGCCGGTAGGTTTCGGGGGATGTGCAAGGTTTCGGGTTTAGGGTTCTGGGTCTTGGAGTACTATACTTTAATACTTTTTTTGGTCTTGGGCTCCTCTTATAGCTAATTATACCTAAAAAGTATATACTTTTTTCCAGGGTCGACTCCAAAGCTAAGGGTTTAGGGTTAGGGTTTGGGGTTCAGGGCTAGGCTTTGGGTGTCGGGTTTAGGGTTTGGGGATATTGGGGCTCGGGGTGTCTGGGCCCCCAGAAATACGAAACCCTTCAGGATCTCTCGCGCCCTAAACCCTAAACTCTAAACCCTAAACCCTGTATAAACCCTAACCCCTAACCCCTAAACCCTAAACCCTAAACCCTAAAGCCTTAACCCGTTACCGTAGACCCTAAACCCTAAACCCTAAACCCTAAACCCTAAACCCTAAACCCTAAACCCTAAACCCTAAACCCTAAACCCTAAACCCTAAACCCTAAACCCTAAACCCTTAAACCTAAACCCTAAACCCTAAACCCTAAACCCTAAACCCTAAACCCTAAACCCTAAACCCTAAACCCTAAACCCTAAACCCTAAACCCTAAACCCTAAAGCTCAAACCCTAAACCCTAAACCCTAAAGCCTAACCCTTAACCCTAAAACCCTAAACCCTAAACCCCAAGCCCTTAACCCTATACCTCCCCCTGGAGCCCTGAAAGCCTGTTGCAAGCTCCGAGGATGCGGCAGCTGGTGGCGAAGGCCGTCGCCAACAGCTTCCCTGCCCTTTGCGGGGTTCAGGGTTTAGGGTTTCGGGTTTAGGGTTTAGGGTTTCGGGTTTAGGGTTTAGGGATAGGGTTTGTAAGAAAGATTTCAGGTTTCTCCCCTGAAAGAGACTTTTAGATATACTAGACCCTCAACCCAGAACCTAACCCCCCCCCCCCCCCCCCCCCCAAGCCCTTAATCCCAAACCCTAAACCCCAAAACCCTAAAACCCTGAAATCCCCCAGAATCCCAAACCCTAAACCCCAAAACCCTAAAACCCTGAAATCCCCCAGAGGGTACTTGTGAGGGAACTTACAATGGTTATTGCAAGTACCGCTAAACCCTAAACCAGAAACCCTATAAACCCTAAACCCTAAATCCCCAACCCCAAACTCTAATCCTAAACCCTCAACCCTCAACCCTAAACCCTAAGCCCTGTGAACCTCCAAGTGGGCTCTCTGGGCGGATCCTGTATCATGTCGCCTGCCAGGCGAACGATCGCATCACGGAGTCCGAGTCTCGTGTTGGAGGGCCCAGCATTCTTCTGCGGGGGTTTAGGGTTTAGGGTCTAGGGTTTAGGATTTAAGGGGTTTAGGGCTTAAGGCTCTGAAACCTACACCCCAAACTCCAAATCCTAAAAAGGGGGTGGCTTGGAAACATGGTCGGGTCGAGGGAGCAAGGTTTCAGTTTTTGGGATCAGGGAGCCGGGTTGGTGGAAGGGGTTAGGGTTTAGGGTTTGGGGTTTAGGGTTTAGGGTTTGGGGTTTAGGGTGTGATTGGCTCATGGGGTTTAGGGTAGGCAGGTCCATTCGAGATGCAGGTCTGGAGAGACTGAGTTAGGAGTTGCCCATAGACTCTAAACCCCAAACTTTAAACCCTAAAACCCTAAAACCCTAAAACCCTAAAACCCTAAAACCCTAAAACCCTAAAACCCTAAAACCCTAAAACCCTAAAACCCTAAAACCCTACAACCCTAAAACCCTAAAACCCTAAAACCCTAAAACCCTAAAACCCTAAAACCCTAAAACCCTAAAACCCTAAAACCCTAAAACCCTAAAACCCTAAAACCCTAAAACTCTAGAACCCTAAAATCCTAAAACCCTAAAACCCTAAAACCCTAAAACCCTAAAACCCTAGAACCCTAAAACCCTAAAACCCTAAATCCCTAAAACCCTTTGCCATGACCACGGGGTAAATCCTCGGCTTTACCTTTGGGGGCCAAAAGGAGGGTTCCAAGCCTCCTCAAATAAAGCGCGTAACCCTAAACCCGGAAACCCTAAACCCTAAACCCTAAACCCGAAACCCTAAACCCTAAACCCTAAACCCTAAACCCTAAACCCTAAGCCCTAAGCCCTAAACCCTAAACCCTAAACCCTAACCCTAAACCCTAAACCCTAAACCACCTTACTTCAAGCACCATTCAAGCACTGGAGCCGAGATCCAAAGGCCTAATTTTTGTGCTGTCACCTCCTTCTTAGGTGTTTAGGTTGGGATGTTCACCCTTGTACTAGCAGTCCCTTTATAGGGATTATAATAGGGTGTACTATAGTCCTGACAAAGGATTGTTAGTATAAGGGGGAACATCCCAATGTTTGGGGCTTAGACAGCCTTAAAAGCCAATGCGACAACAAGTGCCCAACCCTCAACCCTAAATGCTAAACCCGAAACCCTAAACCGTAAACATAAACCCTCAACCCTAAACACTAAACCCGAAAGCCGAAACGCGCGAAAGCGCAAAACTCCCAGCCTTGGAGCCCTAAAACTCCATCCCAAACTGGTCCCCGAGCTGTACGTTTCCCGGTCAAGCTCCAAACCCCTAGACCCTCTATATTTAAGGTTTAGGGTTTCGGGTTTACGCACCAAAGCAAGTACAGGTACCCCAGAAGGGACCATGGCTTTGAAAAGATCCCATATGGCCATGTCTACATTTGTGTTTTCTGGAGCTTGTATGACGTGGGTCCAAGGTCTTTATTGTAGGCTTCGGTGGCCTCAAAGCATGTGAGGCAGGGTTGGTGGGGTTTAAGCTTTAGAGTTCAGGCGCTACTTTTGCCATGCGAGTATATAGGGTTCCTTCCAAATACTGGTGATTGCATTTTTTGGGGCGCCCTTTTTGCCCTATACCAAGAATAAAGGCTCTGCCCCATATACTTTGCCCTACGCCAACCCTGAAGCAAGCACCTAAACCTTAAACAGTAGACCTTCCGCCCTAAAACCGAAGACCTGAACCCTAAACTCCGAAAAAGCAAGAGCCTGGAGCTTAAACCCTACACCTGGTTTAGGGTTTAGGGTTTAGGGTTTAGGGTTTAGGGTTTAGGGTTTAGGGTTTAGGGTTGAGGGTTTACCCCCCCCGCCCCCAAAAACCGTCTCCGCAGCAGGAGAAGGCGCTCAGTGAGTCCCTTAGCAAGGCGCAGTCCCAGCGCCTGGCTCTCCAGGAGCCTCCCCAAGGTTTAGGGTTAAGGGTTAAGGGTTAAGGGTTAGGGTTTAGGGTTTAGGGTTTAGGGTTTAGGGTTTAGGGTTTAGGGCTATTCTCTCCTCCCCTCCCAAAACCTTACAGAGTTTGGGGCAGCGGTTTGGGGGTTCAGCGGTTTGGGGGTTTAGGGCCTTGGGCCAAAAGCCCCAGCAGGTTGACAGCTTGTTTACTCTTTTGAGTATGCTGGGGTGTGGCCAACCCCCAAAACCCCAAACCCCAAAAACCCCCCAAACCCCCCAAACCACCCAAACCCCCAAACCACCCCACCAAAACCCCCCTCTTAGAGGTTTAGGGACTTTAAACCAAGCCTCAAGCCACCAAGGCCTCAATCCTCAAACTCCGAGCCCGAACTCCGAAACCTCACAACCCCTAAACTTCCCTAAACTTCCCTGAGCCCTATCCGCACAAAAAACCAAGCTCTGGCAGGAGCAAATCGGATCTTTGGAGAAAAACGCCAGTGGCGAGCTCAGGGACTCGGTTTGGGGGGCTTAGCGTTTAGGGTTTAGGGTTTAGGGTTTAGGGTTTAGGGTCTGGAGTTTCTGGTTTAGGGTTTTGGCTTGCTTGGGGAGCCTTTTTGACTTAGTAAGCAGGGTGTACGGTGGGTTATGGGGATTAGTTATCAGAGGGTTGCTAGGGGATGCTATGGAACCCTTACCAAGTCAAAAAGAGCTTCCAAGTAGGGTTTAGGGGATATTTGGGGGCTTTGGGGTTAGGATCAAGCGATTAGGACTCCTACCACTAGGGTTGCACCCCTACAGGTTCCCCTGAGACTGCTAGTCTGGCACTTGAAGCACTTTATGGATCTTCAAAAAAGGGTCTAGGGTTTAGGGTTTAGGGTTTATGTAGGGTTTAGGGTTTAGGGTTTAGGGTTTAGGGTTTAGGGTTTAGGGTTTAGGGTTTAGGGTTTAGGGTTTAGGGCCCCCAACCGCAAGGGTGCCACCTTAGGGGTCCAAGGTAGTTCGCGGCGGTTCCTGCGCCATGCCTGAGGCGTGCCGCCGAGCCGCGAGGAGATCGAGCAGCGGGGAGGCCGCCTCCCTCTTCTTATTGCTAGAACGACCGCTATCCTAAACCCTAAACCCTAAACCCTAAACCCTAAACCCTAAACCCTAAACCCTAAACCCTAAACCCTAAACCCTAAACTCAGGGCCTAGGCCGCCCCCCTACAGAGGGGGGGCGGCGCTTAAGCCCTTCGACCTCTATGGCGAAAGTCGACCCTTGCCCGCCTCCTGCAGCCAGGAGGTCGGTAGCACCCACGATGGGCCCGGTACCGGAGCAGGTTCTCCCGGGGACCAGTACTGGTCCCCTTAATAAAGTAAATACCCTAAACCCCAAGCCCTTCACCCTGGCTGGCCGTTTCGGGGGCGGTACCCCAAGGCCCCCAGGCCAGGAGGACCCGGACCCCTCACCGCAGCGTGTCCAGGGACCAGGGAGGCCAGGCGGGCGGGTGCTCAAAAACCTGGTTTTTGGGTGTTTCGGCTGCTCCCTGGCCCCCCTGGCCTCCCTAGCCCCCTGGCCCCCCTGGCCCCCCTGGCCCCCTGGCCCCCCTGGCCCCCCTGGCCCCCCTTGGCCCCCCCGGCCCCCCCCTCACCCCCCCTGGGCCCCCCTGGCTTCCCTGGCCCCCCTGGCCCCCCTGGCCCCCCCTGGCCCCCCTGGCCCCCCTGGCCCCTCCCACGCGCCTTCCGCGCTCCAGCAGCAACAGGCTTCCAGCCCGGGGCCCCCCCGGGACAGGTTGTCCTGGGGCGTCCCGGGGCGTCCCGGGGCCCACGCCCCCCCAGGACCCCCCCCCGCACAGCTGTCCCGGGGCGCCCCCGGGACGCCCCGGACACCCCCAGGACACTGTCCCGGGGCCCCCCCGGGACGCTAATATTCGCGATTTTGGGCGTGTGATCGTTTCGCTTTCCGTGTTTTCGGAGGGTTTTTGTACGGTTTTCCAAAACCGACGCGGCAGCCAAAAACCGCCACTCGGTCCAGAACCCGTGTTTTTTGTTGTGTTGCTGTGCTGGTTGCGGTGTCACGCTTTTCGATTCAGTAGCCACGCATATACGAACCAGCCAACTGCGATCCCGTATTTCCTGCCCGCGCCTGGCTTCGGGCCGTTTTGTGCCTCACGGCCTGTTTTTTCTCTATCTACTTTGGGCGGTTTTGTGTCGATTTTTGCGTTTCCTTTAAGGTTGGGACGCAGTCTCCCTACAAAACCTCCTGCGGGTAAGTATGCTAGATGTTGTTTTGGAAAACGTTTACTGTCTTTAACTTAGGCCTTTGATTCCTGCTGCAGGAGGTTTTGGACGAAAACACGAAACTCATTACATTTTGCCCGCCTCTGGGCAGCACCTAGCCATGCATGACTTTTTTTCCAGCCACCTGCCCAGCAGCATTGCACAGTCGTAGTGATGTGTCTCTGAGGTCGGGATGGAAGAAGGCCGCGCCACGCCGTGCGAGCCGGCTGCTGGCAGTGAGTGAAGCCGCCAGCCGCGCGGCGGGTCTTAGCTTTTTTAGAAGTCAGCGCAAGGGCTCGAAGAAAGGCCAGCTGCGAGCGCTCGCACGGGTGACTATATTGCTCAGTTCGAGCCGACTCTCGTTAAGATAGCATGCTTTGTTTTGCTCGTCTGCAGCCATTTGTCTACAGACAATCGACAACATCTATAAGCTCACGCGATTCCATTTCGTCTGCGCTCCTACGCTGATGTTTAGCAAGGGCAAGCACGGCAAGGGCAAGGGCTACACCGGCGCTGGCGGCACCTACTGGGGCGGAGGCGGCTGCATGGGAAAAGGCAAGGGCGCGAAGGGCTACGGTTACGGCGACCGCGATGCTTGGGCCCCGGCGTGGTCGCCATCGCAGCATCAGGCACCGCCTGGCTATGAGGGCGAGGGCCGCACTTCGACACGTCGACTTCTTGGCCGCGACTCAATGGCCAAGAAATTCCTGCGGCCCTACGCGGCCTCTTCTGGCAACTTCCTGTACGGCGACGGTTCCGATGTGGAGATGCTCGCGAAGACATGCTTGCGACAGCTTCTCACCACGGAGGTATCGGAACTATCCCGCCGCCCTGCATACGGGTTTTCCATGCTATCCACGACCCTTCGGGCTTTCGCGGCCGGCTTGCAGAGCGACGAGGCCAAGGCGTCGGAGGCCGCTCTGGCGTCACTTTTCCAAGGTAGCCAGGAAGGCAAAGCCTTCGTGGAACGTCTCGCAAAGACCGACTTCGAGACGGCGAAGCATCGGCCGCAAGACTGTGAGGATGCCTTCGAGAAGATCTTGACCTTCTTGAAGGAAAACAAGGCAATGCTCTACGAGCACTTGGCCCGCGTGGCTGCCCATGGAGCTCTGCTCTACGTTGGTGGACTACATGCCCTGGACGCGCTCATCAAAGCCGATGGCTTGGCAGCTTGGTGCTCGCAGGTTCCCTCCGACGAGTTCCTGCAGAAAGCCTTGGACAAGTGGAAGGCGGGCGGTAAGAAGCCGGCTGCCGCGGCCACGTTCTTGGTGGAGGCGTACAGAGCACGCAAAAAGAGCGAAGCCGCCTGGAAGCAAGGTGGAGCACTCATTCGCGGAGACGATTCGGACGATGCAGCCGACGATCGCGCCCGAGCACTCTCTTCGTCCTCATCTTCGGAGACGTCCAAGAAGCCGAAGAAGGCGAGAAAGTCCAAGAAAGACAAAGACGGTAAGAAGCGCAGGAAGAAGTCGAGTTCGTCCTCCAGCGAGTCCAACAAGAAGAAGGACGACAAATCCAAGAAAGACAGGGGCGGCAAAGATGACGAGAAGAAAAAGCAGAAGGACGACAAGGACAAGGACAAAGACAAGGACAAGGACAAGAAGGACAAGGACAAAGAGCCTAAGGCCGACAAGGACCAGAACAAAGACAAAAAGAAGCGAAAGTCTTCGAGTTCTTCAGGGACGGACAACAAGAAGAAAGAACGCAAGTCTTCGAGGTCCGAAGAGCCGGCTGCAGCCGTCGACAAGATGAAGATCCACTTCGTCTCGGCCCTCGACCCGAACGGCGCCATCGTCGCCGACGAGACGGACCGTGTCCATGAAGTCAAGATGGAGGACGATCTGACGGTCGAGGGTGCAGCGTGCTATGTCTTAGAGGACCAGGGGATGGCCGGCGACCTCGTCAATTGGACGGCCCATGTGCTGCAAGACGGCAAGTGCGTGCCCATTGCTGCAAGCACCACACCAGCAACCGGAGCCCCCGAGGTCGTCTTCGTGCGCAAGCTCGATTGAGGCTCCGATGCCATTTAGACCGTGCCCCGCACATGTCCCATGGCCGATCACCTCATGACGCTGCCGTACGCGCAGAGGTTGTCTTCCCATCAAAAAGTGCACGCAGTGCCTGCCCTGGTTGCTGTAGTCAGGTAGTGCAAGTATGCCGTTCCTATGAAGGGGAGCAGAGGCGGCAGCGAAACGAATCTGCCGTTAATAGACTTGCGTGAAAAACTGTATAGCACATGTGTGGACGTTGGAAGTCCGGAAGCTTTCAAAGCCAGGTTCGCCTGCTGGTCAAGCGGACTGTGTTCTCCAGATGACAATCCCGTACGTTTGCACTTGACTTGTCTGTTGCAGCATGCATACTCATCGCAGCCGTGATATATCGTGTTTTCGCATCAGGCACTATCGTCCTTCTTCCGCGATCCATCCGTCGATAACATGGATCTCCTTCAACTGCAACTCATGGACACGGGCGCTCGCGGGCGCTGCGCGCGCGCAGGCACTGTTGCCTGTGATGCGTTACAATGATGCACGCCATGCACTCTCGCGCGCCGAGGACTCCAGGCGGCCGATGCCGAAGTGTCTCTTCGTGATCGTCTGGCTCATGCCTGCATCGACTTCGACTACTACATCCTCTGGCTTCGGCGCCAGGTCGAGTTGCTCACGGTCCTGCGAGGCCTCCCTGTCTTGGGAAACGGAGCCTGCGGGGATGCCGTGGTGGCCATAGTTCCTTGCCTGCAGCCCGGCCTATCGTGCGTTGTCTTGATGACCCCTATGGGACTGCGACCCGTTGTCTCAGGCCGACTTCTGCGTGCCCGCGCGACCGCTGGCGGAGCTGCCGAGTCCTCATGACCTGGTCGCCCATCTCCCACCCCTTCGAGCTGAAGACGGTCGCGATTGGACGATGCTTGAGGTGACACAGTTATGGGCTGAGGCAAGGAATCTTCGCACGAGTGATATAACAATAATAACGTATCGGCGTTGCGCGCACCCTTTGCAGGTTCGTATCCTGCGAGTGCAGAACGCTGCCTTACGAGGTCACGTTCTGCGATTGGGCGTCCTTGCACGCGACCTGGCGAACAGAGAGGGCGCTGTTCTGTATGCGCTCGGCGGCCTGTGAACTGCATCGCAGAGATCGTCTTCCATCCAAAAGTGCATGCAGAGCCTGCCCCATTTGTTGTAGCACGAACAGTACAAGTGCGCTGTCATGTGACGGCAACGCAGCATGACTGAGAATGTGTGCAGTTCAACTCTGATCGCTTTCGTGTTGATGCACTGTCACCTTCTTGCCTGCTACCAGTCCCTGCAATCTTGCCGCAGCACCTTCCGTCTCTACAGCTCTTGCCTTTCTGTTTGTCTACCTTGACTCGACCGGGCTGGGCACCTCACATGGCGCGACATCCCTCGGAGCGCTGCAGCGGCTTCGCTGGCGCCGGCGAGGAGCGGCAGGCCTGCGTCTTCTCGACGACCGACCTGGGCCGGCCGTCGGGAATTCATGCCAACCGGGGGCAGGCATCGTGCGTCTTCTGCTCAGAGTCAGTGCTGAGGCAGCGTCTGGGTAACTCCCGGGGCAAAGGTGTGGTCACGGCTGCCTTGGCTTTTTTTCACGAGCAAAGCCCGGAGGATGTGTACGTCCGCGCCGCGCAGCGGATTCGAGACGTGGCTGGAGAGCCGACCTGGGCCGCTTGCGAGCGGCGTCTGCAGCAACATCTGCGTCAACGGGGAGCTACAGCGCAGGAGCACGACGCACGTGCACAGCAACAAGCTAAGGCCCGAGCTCAACGTCGAGGAGGTGGAGACCCCGCTAACTGGGCGGGTTTGCTGGAAGCCCGCCAATCCCAGTGCGTCCCCTCGGCAGAAACGAAAAGAGTGCATGAGAGAAGCTGCGCCAGCCAGCTGCGAGCGTTGCAGAATAAATTGCCGGCCATCTATGGTGAAAATGGACGGCCAGCGGCCGCTTGGCAGACGGACCTAGCCAAGGCCTTCACGAACTTCGCGAAGAACTGGTCGTGGCGCATGTGCCGCCAATGCGACCGGATGGTCCCACAGCCGTTCGAGCCCAAGCACGCGCGTGCCTCCGGAAGGCTCCAGCCCACGCTTGCAGCGTGCGGACACTGTTCTGCCGGGACCCGTGCCCGAACCCCTGCGGAGGCTTCCTGAAGAGGTACTCTCGGCGCTGGCCATTCTTGACGTCCACACGGGTCCGGCCGAGCGCGCGCCCCAGGGCTACTGGGTGCACACCAGTTGCGTTCGCTTCAGCTGGAAGCCGACATCCGTCGAGGAGCGCCTCAGCGCACTTCCTCGCGCAGCTTGGCAGGCTGGACGTGCCGCCTACACCTGGTTGGTTGCTGCGGAGACCTGCCCATACCGCGACTTCCTGAGATCTCACGCTGCGTTTCTGCGGCACCGTCAACGTCTTCTAGATCATGGCGACTTGGACGCTGCGACCCCAGTGCCCTGGCTGCCGCTGCGCTTTCTGGAGACGATCGGCTTGGAATCTGCCATTTGGCCTCATCTCTATTGGGACCGCACCATGTGCGAAACGTACGTTCGCAGCGTGGATGCGAGGCGCCTTTCTCGAGCCGAGCAGCAAGAGGGCCGCGACGAGGATGCGGAGGGCGACGTGGACATGATGGAAGCCGCCGAGCAACCAGAGAACGAGGCTGAGGACCCTGACAGCGGCTGTGAGGAAGAGCAGGCGGAGGGCCCATGCCCGGAAGGCGCCACGCGCCAAAGCGCCAAGGCCAGCTTCATCGCCAAGGTTTTCTCTTCGGTGATTGGCTATGGCACCGACCGTGCCCTGGCCCACTTCGTGTATGATCTCTGGATGTGGAGCTCTCTCGGCGGGGCCCGCAATGCCGCGCCCACGAATCTGCGCGGCGCCTTGGCCGGGCGGGGCTTCTCGCCTCTTTACTGGCGGGGCGTGCACGCCGGCCTCGTGGACTGCGTGCGCCAGCTCGGCTTCCCCTCCATGTTCGTGACTGTGGCCCCCTTGGAGCTGTCGGCGCCCTATCATCACTGGCTTCAGGACGAGCTTCACAAGGCCTGTCGCTGCCGCACGAACCTTCCGGCGGCGGAGACGTTCCACCTCGCGCACCTGCTCTTCCAAACTGCCGAAGGCCTCCTCGCCGGAACCAATCGACAGCAGACGGCCAGCGCGCGTCGACGGTGGGATCGGCACATCTTGGCGAGTCGCGACGCTGCTGGCTCCAGCGTGGTGGAAGTCTTCGCTCGTCTCGAATTCCAGGATGGGAAACGCAAAAGGCACGTGGGCCCGGGTCAATCCTATCATGGCTCCGGGCGTGTCCATTTGCACCTCTTGATCTGGCTTAAGGACGCCGACGGCATCGACTGGCCGCGAGTCGTGCGGGCAGACATCCCGGACGCAACCACGGAGCCAGAACTGCACGATTTGGTGCGTGATTCCCAGCAGGACTGGGACGACAGCGCCTGGCCACGGAGAGATGGCCCCACGGTCTTCGACAGCGCAACAGGTGTCCTGCACCTTCACCATCCGGCCGACGCCCACGCAGCACATGTCCGGGCCTACTTGCCCGACCTGCTGGGGGCGCTGCAGTGTCACATGGACGTGCAGATGGGCGACGGCCGTGGACTGTTGCTGCAGTACGCGGCCAGCTACAACGCCAAGTTCAGCGACCAGTTCGCAACCGCCTGGCTGAACGACGAGGCAACAGACTTCCAACTGGCCTGGAAGGTTCTTATGGAGTACCACCCACTCGAGCCCGAGATGTGGCTCCAACTCGCCGGGCAGCAGTTTCGGCAGGTGCTCCAGACCGGCGTGCTGCGCCGCGTGGTCGTGCGCCCGCCCTGGGCCGGCTTCCCGCCGAGCCGTTGGGAGTCGCTCTACGTGGCCTGTGACTGGCGGTCCGAGAGCTGCACGCTCCTGGAATACCTGCGCCAGTGCAACCAGTCCGGAGTCAAGCGCAAGAACAAGCGCCGGGTGCTGGTGGCGGCGACGCTACACTCGCCTCTGAGGGACAGCTACTTCGGCCAGTGGCTGCTGCTCAACGTGCCCTTCCGTTCCCTTGCTGATCTGTGGGACGATCGGGCGGCGAAGGTGCCCGAAGGCTATCGGATGCTGGCCTTGTGTTTGCTGCACCGTCCCGGCTACTGGCGTCGCCTCCACGACGTGCAGCGTGATTTACAGTTGGAAGGCCGCAAGGACGCCCACATCTGCAACGTCCTGAGCATGTTGGAGGCTCGCACCGCGGTCGTCGACGCCTATCTCTCCGGCCAATTGGTGCTCGACGTGGACATGCCTCCGCAGCCGGACCTCCTCGCCGCCCCCGAAGTCGGCTACCGTGGAGAATTGGATCCGGAGCAAGCAGTCGTGGTGGAACACGTCCGGAACATGGTCCGCTGGGCACTCGAGCGCCGGTACCCCGAGGACGCAGACCCCGCCCAGTTGCACGACTTCCTCGACCGAACTCGCCACTCGCCCCCACAGGTGCTGCAGCCCTTCTGCGTGCTGGGGCCTGCCGGGTCGGGGAAGAGCACCGCGCTGGAGGTGGCCGTCCAGCGCGCCGCAGAGGCCGGTGCCCACGTTGGCATTGCGTGTCCGACCGGCATGCTCGCGAGCGCCTACCGGGAGAAGTTCCCTGGCCTGGATGTCGACACCTTGCACGGCATGTTTCTCCTGCACCTGCCCCAGGAGGAGACGTGGGATTGCATGGGGAGCTTTGACTTGATCGTCATCGACGAGGTGGGCCAGCTCTCCCGCATGACGTTCGAGCGCCTGCTGTGGTTGTGGGACAACGCAGATCGCCGCCCGGCTTTGGTGTTCGTTGGCGACTTCCACCAGCTGCGGGGCATGGACCCCACGAGGGCCTCCGACAGCCCTCGCTGGCGGGGCGTCGTGAAGCGCCACCTGCAGACGATGCGGCGGTGCAAATGTCCCGAGTTGCGCTGGAAGCTGGAGCTCCTGCGCACCACCAAGCCTTCCAAGGAGCAGTTGCTCCGCATCCTGCGCGGGCATCGGGCAATGCCCGATCGGGGCCCCGGCGTCAGTCCGGAACCCACGGAGCTGGACGTCCAGGGGATGCTGCAGGAAACGCCGCACACCCTGTTCCTGACAATCACTCGCCGCCACGCCGCACTCCTCAACGATCTTGCCGTGCGAGCCCTATACGGAGATGCCCAGCCCCTCTGCTTCGTGCCGGGCGACTATGAAAGCAACGTGGACAACTACGACGACCTCGGTCAGCTCGTGGACTGTCAGCCGCTGCATCTTCCTGTCTACGAAGGCATGCGCGTGACGCTCACCCGGAACGTGCAGAAGGAGCAGAACTTTGTCAACGGCATGCGCGGGGTCGTGCTGGCCGTGCAAAGCTCCTCCGTGCTGGTCCTCACGCACTGCGGCAACGTGGTCTCCGTGTTTCCCTACACGGACGACGAGATTGACGTCGCCGGGGTGAACCGACGGATCACCTATCTGCCGATCAGGCTCGGTTACGCGACGAACTTGCAGAAGATCCAGGGGGCGACCCTCGACCACGTGACGATATGGCTCGACGTCCCCAACGTGGAGGCCGCGGCCTATGTGGCGTTGTCCCGGGTCCAATACGACCAGAACTGGCGCTTCCTGGGGCACGTCACGCGGCACCACCTCACCCCGGCCTCGGGCGTCTGAGCGGCTCTTCCCACAGAGGCTAGCGCCCAGTGATGTATATATCTTTTGCTTGCCGAAGCTCGGCTAGAGCCACTCAATTCCAATGCACACGAACTGTCTTAAGAATGTCTAGCCGGCCTACGTACAAAGGTAAACAGAGCACACACGATAGAGGGCAAGCTGGAGGGGTGAGGCTCGAAGATACGGCCAACCAGCGAGTTTGAGATCCGCACAGCTCGACCGCTGGTCCTGGAAAAGAGCACTCTCGCGACTAGTAGTCTGCTGCAAGATCCCGTCGTGTTTATGCCACGCAACACGTGCTCACCGTTTGCCGTTCCGTCGTGCCTTTTCCTGGCTCATATGAAGGTTCATGCTGTGCTGCACACCTGCTGCCCCATCGTGTCCTGCCCTCAGCTTTTTTTTACCGTGCCAGTCCCCGGACGAAGCTCGACCCTGTAAACTTCCCACTTCCACGAGGTTAAAAAAAAGCGACAAAGGTATTGAGTTTAGACCTAAACCCTAAAAGGAATAGGTAAGGGTGGCTTTGCCGCCTTAGACGGCGTGGGGTGGGAGAGAATTTTAGAGTGGCCCTCCACGATCGGGCCATGGCCGCCCTTCGCATTGTACGAGGCCTTCGAGGCTTTGCTGATAACCGCAACATTTTCAGCTTCTGCGCAATATGACAGCAAACCCTAAACCCTAAACCCTAAACCCTAAACCCTAAACCCTAAACCCTAAACCCTAAACCCTAAACCCTAAACCCGAAACCCTAAACCCTAAACCCTAAACCCGGAGTCCTTTCTTTTTGCCGATGGCTCCCAGACGCAGAGCAAGGCAGGGATATTCGTCGCCTACTCCGAAGCAGTCGTCCACAGGGCGACCCAAACCCCTTAAATAATTCGTTTACCTTATAACTTTTCTGCAGGACCCCCATATAGTTTAAGGTAGGGTTTCCGGATTTAGGGTTTAGAGTCCTTTAAAAAAACCGTATGGTCACTTCGGAACAGGTATGTTGGGTAATTGTAATCGCTTGCGCGCGCTGCCTCGGCAGCCGGGCCGGCCCACGGACAGGAAAGGAGGAAAGGGAAAGACCTCAAAAAAGGGAGGGCCAGGGCTTGCAGGGCGCCCAAAAACAAGGTTCCAGGCGTTTGCGTTTCAGCAGGGCTCCCAAAAGGGCCCAAAATTCTGGATGGGGGGAAGGGTTTAGATGTGAGTTCAAACACTATGTAAGCTTCGGTATAACAAACACTTTCTGGCAAATCTTGGAGTGCATGACGTTGTCAACGTTGCCCTCACCGTTAATGAATGTGCTCCACGTATCTATCGTGCCGTGGTACGAGCCGTGCAATTGACCGGTTATCACGTCTATATTGATGCCTTGCAAACAACAATCGAGGTCCATCGCAGTCAAATCCGGCAGCGCATCGTTCTGCCGTGGAAACCTGCTGACCTACGAGATCACTTGCTTATTTTCCGGCGGAAGTCCTCGGCAAATGACTCGTACATAGAGGATCTTCGCGTGCGGAAAAATGTCCTGCGCCGCCTTTTGCTGCTTTTTGCTCGCGAAGACCGCTGGCGGCGCGATCGTGGCGTCGAGCCAATGCATGCTTACCACACTGACTTCGACTACTTCTCGGACTTGGAACCGGACGCCGCTTTTCCTGTCGACTAAACCCTAAACCCTAAACCCTAAACCCTAAACCCTAAACCCTAAACCCTAAACCCTAAACCCCAAACCCTCAACCCTCAACCCTAAACCCTAAACCCTAAACCCATGGAGGTGATGGTATGGGTGGTGGAAAGTTTGGTGGTCCAGATTCGTCTTCCACTACCCTGACTTCCTTGGGTGGTTTTGGTCTACATGGTTGGGTGGAGCAGGATGAGCCCGTGATGGAGTCCGGTTAAAAATAAAAAACCCTAAACCCTAAACCCTAAACCCTAAACCCTAAACCCTAAACCCTAAACCCTAAACCCTAAACCCTCAACCCTCAACCCTCAACCCTCAACCCTCAACCCTCAACCCTCAACCCTCAACCCTAAACCCTAAACCCTAAACCCTAAACCCTAAACCCTAACCCTAAACCCTTAACTGTGACATGAACCCTAAAGCCCTAAGCCCGAAGCCCGAAGCCCTAAGCCCTAAGCCCTGAGCCCTAAGCCCTAAACCCTAAGCCCTAAGCCCTAAGCCCTAAGCCCTAAGCCCTAAGCCCTAAGCCGGGTTTAGTGTCAGGGTTTCAGAGCTCAGCGTTTGTGTTACCCTGAACTTGGATTCCCTTTTGAAGTAGCAAGCAGGGTTAGTTTTGTGGGTTATGATAAGAGGGCTTCCAGGGGATACTAAGTACGTAGACTAGGTCCAAAGAGCTTCCAAGAGCCCCTAAACCCCATACCCTAAACCCGAAACCCGAAACCCTAAACCCTGAACCCTGAACCCTAAACCCTAAACAACCCTAAACCCTAAACCCTAAACCCTAAACCCTAAACCCTAAACCCTAAACCCTAAAGAGACCCCATGGCTGCAGCACACAGGTATTCTCCTAGCTGTGGAGACCGACAATGATGATGCCCCTGGGACCACTTGGAGTTTGAGGGGGGGGGGTGGGTTTGGGTGTAGGGTTTCAGAGCTTCAGAGTTTAGGGTTTGCATTTTAGGGCTTGGGGTTGTAGGGTTTCGGGTCACAGCCGCGTTCTTGGTGCTTCAGCGGTCGATTTTTGCTTGCTGGGCGGGACCTAGACCCTGAAACCTAAACCCTAAACCCTAAACTCTTATCCTTAGGCCCGAAGCCAATATTGCTTCGAGGCCTGCAGCGCGCCGTCAGTGCCTGATTGAAGCCAGATCAGGAATCGCTTGAGGCTCGCTTGGCGCGCCTGCCAGCAGAGAGGAGGTCTTGTTGCGTCATTCATCTGCGACCTCCTGTTTCCATGTCCACCCAGAGAGCCCGAAACCCCTTTGTTAAGGAGTATACCTTAAATTGTAAAGGGGTCCCTATTGTGACTTAAAAGGAATATACCTTAATTAAGGGGTATTGGGCTCTTTGTCCATGGCCGCCGGTCGTTAAAATGTCGCTTCGAGAGGGCGGCGCCCACTTTGTCGTTCAGCCCCGGCTCCCTCGATCGTGTCGAAGCCCGAAGCCCTAAGCCCTGAGCCGAAGTCCTAAACCCTAAGCCCTAAACCCTAAACCCTAAACCCTAAACCCTAAACCCTAAACCCTAAACCCTAAACCCGTAGACCCTGAGCCCCAAACCCCTAAACCTTGTAAGGATTCAGGTTTCAGGGCCCCCCAAAAAAACAAAAAAAAAAAACAAAAACAAAGGACTGCAACTTTGACAGACGAGCACATCAGCAGATGCTGTGAAGGTTAGGTTTTGGAACAAGCTCGAAAGCTTCGTGAGGTGCCCACCCCACACGCCGTCCGAGGCGTCAAAGCCACCCAAACCTATTCCTTTTAGGGTTTCGGCCTAAACACAAGGCAACAGTCCACTTCTACAAACTTATTCGTTCATGACGTTCGGGGTTGGATCCGAGAGTCAAAGGAATGGTAGGGGGGTCGGGGGGGTCCCAGGAGTCCTCAAAGAGGCGTAGGGGGCCCAGGAAGTTCCCAAAAAGGCGTGCTAGGGATCCCTGATCGGGGCCCTGGGGGCCCCCCAGGGGTGGTGGGTTTAGGGCAATTACTTTATTTTAAGGGACCAGTAATGGTCTCGAGGAGAACGTGCTCCGGTACTGAGCCCATCTACGACCCCCGAGCTGCGGGGGCGGGCGAGCGACCTGGATCGGCTTGCGCCATCGAGCTTAAGCGCCGCCCGCCAACGTAGGGGGGTGGCCTAGGGTCTGAGTTTAGGGTTTAGGGTTCAGGGTTTAGGGTTTAGGGTTCAGGGTTCGGGTTTCGGGGAAGCTGGGAAGCCTGAGCCCTGAATCCCAAAAGCTCTCTGAACCCTGAAATTTCTTCAACCTGAAGCCCGAATGGCCGAACCCTCAACCCTAAACCCTAAACCCTCAACCCTAAACCCTCAACCCTCAACCCTCAACCCTCAACCCCCTAAACCCGAAACCCTAAGCCCTGAGCCCTAACCCCTAAGCCCTAAATGCTAAGCTGCAGGTCTGGTGTCTGGTGAGCACGGGGCTGTGCCCAGATGAGAGCCTGGGCCTTGGCGTGGGCCTTTGAGAACTTAATGGTTGCTGGAATCCCGAAACCCCAACCCTAAAACTTGAACCCTAAACCCTAAACCCTAAACCCTAAACCCTAGACCCTAGACCCTAGACCCTAGACCCTAGACCCTAGACCCTAGACCCTAGACCCTAGACCCTAGACCCTAGACCCTAGACCCTAGACCCTAGACCCTAGACCCTAGACCCTAGACCCTAGACCCTAAACCCTAAACCCTAAACCTTTGTGGGACGCCCCAAGATCTGCCTGGACGCCCTAATACTTTCCTGAAACCTTGGCCCCCAACCTGCCTGGCGAGCCTCTGCCGCATCCAAACCTTCACAGCATCTACGCCCTTTTGCAGCAAACCCTAGACCCTAAACCCTAAACCCTAAACCCTAAACCCTAAACCCTAAACCCTAAACCCTAAACCCCAAACCCCCAACCCTAAACCCTAAACCCTAAACCCTAAACCCTAAGCTTGCCCTCGGTATGCTCAGGTGCCACGGCCGTCGAAGAGGTACCGAGCATCCAGAAGAGGCGCTGGCTCTTGGGGCAATCTTCCCAAAGAGCCCAATACCCCTTAATTTCAATAGGGACATTCCCTAAATCATAATAATCATCCCTTTGAAATTTAAGGTATGTTCCTTAATTAGGGGGTATTGGGCTGTCTGGGTTTCGGGGGTTTCGAGTTCGGCCCAAGGCCCCGTCACCCTTTAACCCTTAAAACTTAAAACCCTTATGTGTCATGGTTTGGGACAGGGCTTAGGGTTTGGTTTCGGGTTTAGGGTTTAGGGTTTAGGGCTTAGGGCTTAGGGCTTAGGGCTTAGGGCTTAGGGCTTAGGGCTTAGGGCTTAGGGCTCAGGGCTCAGGGCTCAGGGCTTATGGGGGTGTCGACCATGATGATGAGGGGGGCCTTCGTAGCAAGGACCCCCCCAAAAAAGGCGACCAGCTTCTTCAGAGTCGGCGCCGACGTGGTCAGTGCTATGCTCTGTCCCAAAGAGCCCAAGACCCCTTGGTTAAGGAATCTTCCTTAGAGCATATTAAGGACCCCTTGATAATTTATAATCTATATTCCCTGATGACGGAGTATGAAAGGCTCTGGGTTCTTTAGACAAGGAGCCGGCGGGTCGAGGGCTGCGACGCCGTGATCCAAGGGTAGTTACATGCTCCCTGAATATGGGCCCTTAGAAGGGCACCCCTTATAAGCTCCTTATATGCCCTAGACAACGCAAGGGCCCATACTTCAGAACAAAGGAGGTAAGGGACCATATTGAGGGCTCATGAAATTACTCTTAGACCTGAACTAGCGCCCTGAGCCCCAGAATTTAGGACAGGCCCCATATGAGATCACACGCGAGAGGCAGGACCGAGGCTTCAAAACCCTAAACCCTCAAGCCTGAACCCTGAACCCCCAATCCTACATAAAACCCTAGACACCCTAAACACCCTAAAATACCCTAAACACCCTAAACCCTAAACCCTACACCCTAGGCCCTGAGGCCCAAAAAGCTCTTGGACCTGATGCTTCATGAGGGCTATGCTGATAGGGTTTAGGGTTTAGGGTTTAGGGTTTAGGGTGGGCTCTTAAGTCCGATCGATCTCCGGCTAGATCCGACTGTGAGGATGAGTGGGGTCCCAAAGAGCCCCAGCCCCTTATTTAAGGAATACTCCCTAAGGCTCCCTACGCTTAAGGTTCCCTAGGTACCTACACCTCACGAACCCCTGAACCCTGAACCCTGAACCCTGAACCCTGAACCTAAACCCTAAACCCTAAACCCTAAACCCTAAACCCTAAACCCTAAACCCTAAACCCTAAACCCTAAACCCTAAACTGACACCGGAGGGATGGCATCAACCCCGGAATTAAGGAATATTCCTTCAACCATAACAAGGACTCTAAACACTAAACCTAAAGCCTAAATCTTAAACCCCAAACCCTAGACCCTAGACCCTAAACCCTAAACCCTAAACCCAAGGTATATTTCTTAAAAAAAGGAAATTCCCTTAAATTATAAGCATGGATCCTTATTGTAGTTTAAGGAATATCCCTTCATTGAGGGTCTTCTTAACTAAAGAAGATACCCTTAGATTATGAAGGGAGCCTTACTATTGTAGTTTAAGAATGTTCCCTCATGAAAGGGTCTTGGGGCTCTTTGGGCGAGTCTCAAACATTTCTTGGGGCCGCAAAAGCTACAGAACTAAACCCTAAACCCTAAGCCCTAAACCCCAAAACTCTAAACCCTTGGCAAACCCCTGACAATCCTGGGTTCAGGGTCATTAGGGTTTAGAACCCCCCCACAACCCTAAACAAAAACCTGGTTTTTATTCGCCCTAAACCAACCCCAGCTGCAAACCCCAAACCCCTAAACCCTAAACCTAAAACCCAAGACCCTAAACCCTAAACCCTAAACCCTAAATCCTAAACCCTAAACCCTAAACTCTAAACCCTAAACCTCAGGGTGCGCTGGTGGCTCCTTTCCCAGCTGGATGTGGCGGAACGCCCCGTGCCCATGCAGCGCCGCTGGAAGGGAGAGGTGGGTTTAGGGTTTAGGGTTTAGGGTTTAGGGTTTAGGGTTTAGGGTTTAGGGTTTAGGGTTTAGGGTGTAGGCTTTAGGCTTTAGGGTTTAGGTTTAGGATTTAGGGTTTAGGGGCGTTTTGGGCTTTAGGGTTTACTTCAAAAATTTGGGTATTTCTCTAAACTAGGGTCCTTTCTGTGACACCCTACACAAGAGGGGCAGCCTTATAATGAGGACCCCAAACGGGACCATATGTCAGAGAAGCGACCATTTGTTCATTAGTCCTTTTCAACTTTTTGGGTGCTCAAGGCTTTTGTTCTAAAACGGAATGGGTAAAGTTGTTTCAGTAGTTTTTGCGTCTTGAGTTTATGCATCGTTGAGACTGTATTAAGGCTGTTTGCGGCTTTCGCGTTTGATGGGCTGCTGGGCTGGGTTTTGCATGGTTTGGGTAGTTTGTTGTTAGAGTATATTTTTCAAGGTTGGTGCTTTGCAGGGCATAGGAATAAGAGGTGGGTTTTATGCTCTAAACCCTAAACCCTAAACCCTAAACCCTAAACCCTAAACCCTAAACCCTAAACCCTAAACCCCCAACCCCAAACCCCAAACCCCAAACCCCAAACCCCAAACCCCAAACCCCAAACCCTAAACCCTAAACCCTAAACCCTAAACCTAAAGTTCCTAAGCCCCAAGAAGCTCCGAGCCAGGTCTCAGCGCTTCGGGCACAGATGCAGCGCTTCAAGAAGCGAGCGGAGGAGACCCACCCTTTTTTTTTTTTTTCTTATCCTTTGGGGGCCTTTAGGGGTTTAGGGTTTCGGGTTCCGGGGATTTCGGGCTTTTGGGCATTTCGGGGTTTTCGGATTGAAGGTGTAGGGCGGCCATTTCAGGGTTGAGGGTCTTAGGGTTGAGGGTCTTAGGGTTACCGGGTTCGGCTGATTCAGGTTTTTCGGGCTTGGTGGTTTAGGGTTTAGGGCCTCAGGGGATTTTTGGCCGATGGGTGTTTAGGGAGGGTTCAGGGTTTTGAAGGAGCTTCCCTCAACCCTAAATCCTACTCCCGAAACAATGAAACCCTAAACCTAACCATAAACCGAAAAGCAAAGACTCAACCCTACAACCCCTTGTCCACCCCAATTTTGATTCCCAGGTTCCTTTCACGCCCATGTTCCTGTGATTCCTGGGTTCCAATGATTCCTATAGCCCCAGCACGCCCCCTTCAATTGAGACACCCTAAACCCTAAACCCTAAACCCTAAACCCTAAACCCTAAACCCTAAACCCTAAACCCTAGACCCTAAGCTCTAAACCCTAAACCCTAAACCCTAAACCCTAAACCCTAAACCTTAAACCCTAAACCCTAAACCCTAAACGCTAAACCCTAGAAACCCTAAACCCTAAGCCCTAAACCCTAAACCCAAACCCTAAGTCCCAACCACTAGTCTGCAGGAGCTGCAGGAGGAGTACGACGCCTACAAAGACAAGGTGCCCTAAACCCTAAACCCCAAACCCTAAACCCTAAACCCTAAACCCTAAACGCTAAACCCTAGACTTTAAACCCTAACCCTAAACCCTAAACCCTAGACCCTAGACCCTAAACCCCTAAACATGCCTCTGCTCTCAAGAAGTGCTCATGCATCCAGGGGGCCGCCATCTCGGCGTTTCGGGCTTAGGGCCTAGGGTTTAGGGTGTAAGGTGTAAGGTTTAGGGTTTAGGGTTGCCTGACACGGCCTAATCCCTATCAAGCCAGTTTCAGCCCTACGCCCTAAACCCTAAGCTTCAAGCCTGAAACCCTAACCCCAAGCCCAAAACCCCCAACCCCAGAACCTCCCCTAAACCCTAAACCCTAAACCCTCAACCCGAAACCCTAAACCCCAAACCCAAAACCCCAGAATCTCCTCGAGCAAGCCGCTGACGCGCCAGGCGAACGCTGCTCTGCAGAATAGCGCCCTCCAGAGCCAGGAGCTACAGCCCTTCGGCGGCCAAAACTAGGGTTTAGGGTTTAGGGTTTAGGGTTTAGGGTTTAGGGTTTAGGGTTTAGGGTTTAGGGTATAGATTTCGAAGTTCTATGGGTCTTAATCCCTATATATTCCTAAGAACCCATAAAGAAAGATTCTTTTTACAGGGTCCCTAAATCCCCCCTTAGGAAGAGGGCTCTGGGTTTTGGGTTTTGCGGTTCTCAGTGGAGAGGTAGAACAATAGGAGCCCTACAGAATCCGTGATTTAGGGGGATTTAAGGTGCCTAATTCGCAATCGCGGGTAAACCCTAAACCCTAAACCCTAAACCCTAAACCCTCAAAGCCTAAACCCTCAACCCTAAACCCTAAAACCGAAAACCTAAACGTACACCCTAAGCCCTAAACCCTGGACCGCAGCGGGCCAATGTGCCAGCATTCTCAGTGAACCCTAAACCCTAACCCTAAACCCTAAACCCTAAACCCTAAACCCTAAACCCTAAACCCTAAACCCTAAACCCTAAACCCCAAACCCCAAACCCTAAACCCTAAACCCTAAGCTTGCCCTCGGAAGTCTTTTGGTTGCATGTTTTTGCATGTTTTATGTTTCCTAGCGCTGGCAAGTTGCGCTTTTCTCTGTACTTGGGGGAGTACTTATTGACCAATTATAGCTGTACTTATAACCATATTAGGGCACTTAAGGGGCTCATAAGTGGCTTATAAGTACAGTTATAACTGGTTCATGAGTACCATAAGCCTCCAAGTAGAAACCTTAGCGGTGCGAATTTAGAGCGCCACAACCCCTACATTCCCTGAACCCTAAACCTTGACAAAAGCACTCAATCCCCAAACTAAACCCCCCAAAACCCTTAAAACAGTCTAAGAACCTTAACATCCTTAATCAATCGCCCTAAGAACCCTAAACACCCTAACAACCCTAATAACCATAAAACCGAGCTTAATCGCCCTAAGAACCCGAAACGCCCTAAAAACCCTAACAAACCTAAGAACCCCAAGAAAGCTTCAAAAAGCCCTAAACATCACACGAGCCCAAAAACCCTAAAAAATCCTACGGGCCCAAAAAACCCTAAACCACCCTAAAAACCCCGAAGCCTCCTACCCCCCCTCTATACTACCCCGGGTTAGGGTTTAGGGTTTAGGGTTTAGGGTTTAGGGTTTAGGGTTTAGGGTTTAGGGTTTAGGGTTTAGGGTTTAGGGTTTAGGGTTTAGGGTTTAGGGTTTAGGGTTTAGGGCTACTATCCCCCCTAGCTTTCCCCCATAATGACAGGCTGAAGGAACGGCAGGCCGAGCACCAGGGCGAGCAGCTCCAGGCAGGACGCTGAAGCCGCGTGCTTGGAGGTTGGTTGACCAAGTTCTAAAGGGTTTAGGGTTTAGGCTGAAATCTGAAATCTGACAGGGCTCTCACGCGCCTTTTCTGCAGCACCTCCAGGACCCACGATCGTGTGCGCCCATGCGGGGCTTGAGCGCCGGCCTAAACCCTGGGGATGAACCTGCTGCCTGCGATGGCCGGTCAACCGCGAAGATCTAACAGAAAGAAACCCAGATAAGCTAGACTAAAAACCCGAAACCCTTGTGGAAGCCCCCATCTGTGGCAGGATCGCAGCCTGCGCTTCCTGGCATAAAGACTCAAACAAAAGAAAAGGCAAGGGATAATTAGGGGAGGGGAAGATAGGGGATAAGGTGAGGGCCAGGAACCCGTCCATTTGCGCAGACCTGTCGATGCTGACCGCTGCCGAGCACGGCATCTCAAAACGCGGATGGACTACTCGGCAGATCTTTCCGTCCGCCCCCCTTTTTTTAGCAACAGAAAAAAAGAAAACCAAGGCTAACAAAACCCAAGCTAAAGAAAGGAAACTCGAATAAGGGTAAGGCAGACTTCATTCGCTGCGTTTGTATAGACCCTCCGCTCGTAGCTCCACGCTTAGCCTTGCAGTGCTCTTAGGGAACCCCAATACACTTTGCAGAAGGAAAGCAGAGCCATCGAAGCGCCTGGAGCTAGTATGGGTATTCCGGAAACAGTTTCCCAGTATGCTGCCATTTCATGATGGGAGACATGTAAGGTGTACCACGCTTGCAAGACTTCCCCTGTGCGCACTACAAACGAGGGTAGGGGCATGGAACTACCTGGGCAACAGCGAGCATAAGCGAACCCTATAAGGAACCCTACGACAAAAACAAGGCACATTGGGGTGAAGTCTCAGAAGCGCAGTTTCTTGGCCAGCCCTGCAATGATCTTCGCCTTTCCTGCTAGGCGTGCGGGGGTGACTTGCCCACTTTCGCCATACCTAGAAATGATTTTGTCCATGAGCTTACCCTGGCCTTTGGCTTGGGCAAGCTTGGTTTCAAGCTCGGAGACTGGCAAGGGGTCGCTACCCAGATCTACAAAGTGTCCCAACTCAGCTTCAAGAAGCTTAAGAACGGCAACGGAAATAAGAGAGTCCTTATCAGCCCCACAATCCTGAGCTACTTGCTGCTGTTGAGCGGCCCCTTGCGGCTGGGCCTGGCCTGGATGCTGCCAAACCCATTGGCCTGGCATTGGTGGAATCCCCTGCGGAGGAGCCCCCAATTGATGTGCAGCTTGCGCGTGGTTCATGCCGAGAGCTGCTGCAGCTGCTACCCCTGCCCGCTCCTCCAAGCAGGCTGCCAAAGCCTGGGCTTGCAAACGTCTTTCCTGCTGAGCAGCCGCTTCGGCCTTTTGAAGCCTATACTCAGCGTAACCTGGCGAGTCCTTGAGCTCTTTTGCAGGCTGTTTGGATGAGCGGCGTCGGTCTGGCGAGCGAGAGTCAGACTTGGAGCGCCGACGGCGGCCATGACTAGAACTACCCCTGGAGTAGTAGTAGTACTCAGGACGATCACGATCACTATAGCCACGGCCACGGTTGTAGCTGCCTCTGCCACTCCCTTGACCTTTGAAAGTGTCGTGCCCTCTCTTACCAGCCTGCACAATGTAAGCGCTGGCCAGTAGCACCAGAACAAGCAGCGCTCTCACGGAGGGTCCCATGTTGCGACTTGGCAAGACCCAGCTAAGCAATGCGAACAAGAGCTTGTAGCCAAAACTTACGAGAATTTCGCAAACCAAGATCAGCAACCAAAAAACTAAGCTCGCACCTAGGACCCTCTTAGCTCTCTACACAAGGACCTTACGGCTTTACGTAGGGCCAGGACAACTGAGCTCTCTAACGGCAGGGAGTGCACTAGTGCTCTAAGCAACAAGGGCGGGTAGCCTTCCAGGATTAATTCCTGCAGTTCCTCAAGCATGGCACTCACTTGGCAAAACTCAGGGATCTCAAGTTCTCGCAATCTGGCTGCCCGGCCTAGCAGGGCACATCGAAGAAACCCAAAGCGTACCTGCAATCGTCCTAGGAAAGGGGCATATCTTTCCTTTGCTTTTTCAGAGGTTCCGAGGATCCATTCTCTGTTCGGATTCTTTGGAATCCATGAGATTTGTCCGCTCTGACCATCCACTCTGAGGACGATATCAGTCCACGTGTGCTGGAGCTGGCATGGGGCAACTTCAAAAGATACTGTATATATCTCTGTAATGAGCTTGCTGAGGCATGCGTGGCAAAGGCATTGCGAGAGAAGCAATAGATCGTCTACGTAGCGGAGACCCAGAACCGCCTGCTCTGGTGTCCATCCCTGCGGGATGAACCTTTGCAGTCTGTTCTTGCCATTGAGGAACTCGTACTCTTCCTGGCTGATGAGGCACACGGCTGCGACCATCGAGAGCATTCCACCAATTAGCAGGCCTCGCGCCTTCACTACTATATCCCCGAGACACGTGTATTTCAGAAGACAGGCTGTGGTAAGCAAACGCCGTAGCTGAGCAATGGAAAAACACACCTGCTTGCTGGACCGCGTGTGAGGGTTGCCTCCGGGCCACCCAGAAACAAACTTGGTTTTCCGCACAGTCAGCGTTGTTAGGCCTGTGGAAGCTTGTAAGCGAGCCGCTCTAGCATCAAACGCAGATATGACCAAGTCTGTGTTGATCTGTTCGTACATCTGAGCAGCATCCGCTATCAGCATGGTTGTGGGTTGCTTGTTTGCCCCGCAACACGTGCAGCAACGCAAATTGCCAGGCGCCCGCAAAACCTGCAACCCTTTCTGCAAGGTAGGAATAATATCTCGCAAACGCCAAACCGAGAAGCCTGGCCCTGTTGACATGATGAGGAGCTGTATTCCCCTTCCTACCAAGCGCCAAGATCGCCTCCACGGAGCTCTGAAGAATGACACCACCTTGCGTAGGCAGCTGTGCCTTGGTTTCTTGCAAACATGCCCACCCTCAGCTGCGTAGCACTTGGATTTTACGAAGGGATACATATATGGGGCGTAAGAGCCACGCCCTGGAGACCCCCTGCGTAGATATGCCGGCAGAGCAAACATAGATGCTCCGTAGATAAGCGTGCTGAGCTGGGCATTCGTCAAGCCTGTGACCTCCCAACGCGTGGAGTCCAGCAAAACAAGCGTCACCAAGATGGCCGCCAGGCATGCAGAAGGCATCGTCCATGTCCGGCGTCTGTCCTTGTCATCTTGCACCAGAACCCCGCTCATCTTTCTCGTCATGGCCAGGGTGTACGCCGCCTCAGCATCTGGAACTCTAGGAACTGCCCGTTTGTGGCTGCGATGCGCTGCCCGCGAGAATTTGTTTACACATGCCCGCGTGGAGAATTTGTCTGCGTGCATAGCTTGACACCATGCGCGAAGATCCTTTTCCATGGAATGTGAGCAGCGTTGGAGTGCTTCGTGGTCAGTTATAGACCAGTTTCCCGGGAGGCGCTTGATATCCATGCCTCTGCGGTGGCCTTCAATTTCAAAACATCCCGCAGCATAGACTTTGGCAAGCTTGATATTCTTGGAGGCTTGTACCGCATTGCGTCTGTCGCTGAACTTGGGTTCTCCAGACAAAGCAAACCTTGCTCGATCTCTTGTCCACTTGTACATGCATGAACCGTGACGATGGGCCATCTTTGTCGCCAAGAGGCTTACAGCAGAGCGGGCAGCTGCAAGGACTTCAGGGGAAGGGGACTTGAAAATTGCAACTCTGTTGCTCGGTAGGCCAAACCGGTGGAGAAGCTTGTTCATCAGCTCCCTTCCTCTTGCTTTCTTGACATAGCCCGGGATCCAGTTTACCAAACGCGCCAGCCGTATGATGGCAGCTGCTCTGGGGCGGCCTTGAAACAATGCCGGCAAATGGAGGTTGCTGTTCTTTGCGCAGGCCCAAAGCGCTAATAGCCCACCATTCCTTGGAGAATAAATGTTGAGGGGCCCGTGCTTGCCAGTTTTTGCAAAGTGCCATCTAAGCTTGCGTCGATAGGCCTCATTGAAACTCATACCTGTCCAAGCGGGAGGTTGTTGGGCAGTTCCTCTGCGCGCTTTGGCTGTCATAGTCTTTATGACCTGCTGCCCTGAGGTGCCAGCTTCCCATATAGAGGCTGTGTTTGAGCAGCGGAACCGCGGCGGAGGCCGCAAACGCTTTCCTCTATCATGAGGCGAGCGGCAGCTGCATTGACCTTCATTGCCATTAGGTCGTAGCATTCGGATCGCCACTGTTTCTGATGCTTTGATCCATTCGTGTATCCCCCGCTTTGCCACAATGAAGCACAGGCTATTTATGGGGCTGCGTCGAAACAGAACTGCTCGAACAGTTCTTGAGGTTTGGGCACTTCTACGGAGCACTCCTGACATATGCTCCATGATCCTGGCGGGGATGCCGGGCCGGGAACCTGTTCGCTCCAATAATGCCTTGCCAATGTACGTTGTGTCAAAGTTGAAGAGCACGTAGACAGCAGCCTCATCTGGACTGCCTTGCCCAGCAATAGCACTGCGCAGAAAGAAAAAGCCAGCCCCCACTATTTCAGCTGTTGGCCTCGGGCACATGCACATCTTGCGAATCGGATCCACACAGACGCGCAGGATCTTAGAAGCCCAAGCTGAACCGCAGCGTGCTCTGAGTTGCAAGACACCATGCAGTGTGAGGACCGTCGCAAGCAACTGATGCAGCTTCTGCTGATGTCTGTGTGTCTTCAAGGATCTTGGAAATAGAAAGCATATCAGGGCGTCTTGGATAGTCCGCCAGAGACGTAGAAATTGATCTGCTATGAATGGGGCCTGCATGCTCTCCGCTGCACGGCTCCACATCTCATTCTGCAACCAGTCTACGCCCCTATCAGTCTCGGAGTTTTCTGGGGTACTGAAGTAAGAAAACCACAGCGATGCCACAATTTGCAGGCAGTTTGCTTCCATCGACCGCATTGCCACTGAAGCGCAGGACAAAGTGTATGAAGAAGATTTCGCAGAGAAGTGTAAATCTATGGAGTTGAAAAATGGGCTTGGGTGTTCGCAAGAGGCCGTCAATGTAGATGTGCGCAAAGCGTCTCAGTTCCACCCGGTCTCTCTTGCGTAGAATCAAGACTGAAATCTGAAATCTGACAGGGCTCTCACGCGCCTTTTCTGCAGCACCTCCAGGACCCACGATCGTGTGCGCCCATGCGGGGCTTGAGCGCCGGCCTAAACCCTGGGGATGAACCTGCTGCCTGCGATGGCCGGTCAACCGCGAAGATCTAACAGAAAGAAACCCAGATAAGCTAGACTAAAAACCCGAAACCCTTGTGGAAGCCCCCAT